CTACAACCGATCATAGCGAAACAATCAGGAAAGAAGCTGATCATACTGATGATGGACATAAACGCCAAAGTCGTAATGGACAACACCGGGTATTAATATATCATGGGACGATACGGGCTGACTAGGAGAAAGGAACGAGAATGGCGAAAGATTTGCGACTACAACTATCATTTTAAAAAAACATATAGATATATATAAAACAGTTATCTACGCAAGATTCGCAATATCCGTTGACAGGATACCATCAGCAACAGTCTACTGGAGGATAAAACAATCCAGCTTTCAGCTGAAGAAGATACTAGGAAAAGACACTGGAAGTGGATAGAACACACATCGCGGACATCACCAAACTGCGACACGAAGCCACCGCTAGCTTCCTGAAGGGAAATAAGCAGTTATTGAATTCCAGTCTGAATATTTAGAAGCAAACAAGGAAGTGAAGAAGAACATTAGAGCCAAGAAGCATAAATTGATGGATTACTCAACAACAATTGTGGAGAAGCTGCAAGAGAGAGAAATATGAAACAACTATGTGATAATATGAAGAGACTTTGGAGAAAATATAGTAAACCCTAAAGACTGGTCAAGTACAAATACAGTTACGCAACTACCGAAATGCAAGAACGTAGGAACAGATGGGTGATGCACTTCTAGCATCTCTTAAATAGACCAGCTCCATTAAATTCAACAGACGTCGTAGTAGCGCACACAGACCTTCCTATAGCTTCCACTCCACCAACGATCAAGAAAATCAGGACGGTCATCAGGCTAATCGACAGTGCGAAAGCAGCAGCACCTGACAGTATAGCAGCTGAAGCACTGAAGTCAGACACGGAAGTAACCGCAACTATAGTTCGTGTTCCATTCAAGATGATTTGGTGGAATTCACATCGCGAAAATTGTCAAAGTGTATCACAAAGTAAGCACTAACTTGCAATTGTTAAGGGAAGCGGAAAAGTGGAGAAGTTAAGGATACACCGCGTCGTGAGTTGGAAGGAGACATGAAGTGAATTGAAAGCAACTGGGAACAGCTGGCAACATTGTTCAGGATAGAGTTGGATGGGGAATGCTAGTGTGCGGCCTATGCTCCTCCATGAGGTGTAACAGGCATAAGTATATGAGTCATTAATCTTCGATGTTGGCAATTAGTAACACTCACAATAAATAGCCCAAATGCAAATGATGGAACCTTTTTGATATAAGTACCACCCAATCCAAACTGACCAGCTTGCACAGATTAAGATTAACTCTTAAGATGACTCCTTCCACATAGAGTCACCTGGTGCTCTCCATATATCGCGATGTGGAATTCTTCTGTGTTGTAGCAATCATCTATCAAATGGTTCCGGCATATTAATTTGGTTCATGACAGATCATGATCGAAATAATAGACTAAAGGAAGTTTCCGCAAATCACTGAGTAACTAATCAGCATGTTTGTTATTGAGGGACCCGGATTCCTTTTTCTCCTTTATCAATAGTATACCTAGGTTCCTGCCTGAAGGTATTGGTGATGCACTGCTTCTAGACACGGAAGTTCGATGAGCCAAAGCTTCTTCCTTTCCGTCCAAAACCATTTTAACCATTTTAACGCTTGTAGTTCAGATGAAGAACATGCAGCCGGCATACAGTAGAAGCAGAAGTTATTGACCCGCCTAAAAATAACCGTGGCGAATAATGGAACGCGATTTAAGCGACCACAAAATCTCTCAGACATAAGATTTTCTTGCGTGATAGCTATGAGTTTCAAGGAATAACATAACAGGCGTCCTTCAGAAGTGGTAAAACACAAGGCATTTATCACAGTGTCCCATCCGGTGATGTGAAAGCCGACATAGATCGGTTGAACAAGGCAAGTTGGCCTTCATTAATAGATTGTGATACAAGGCGCCGAGGGCTTTGTCGCACTGAGCAAACCCATCTCACGAGCAAAGCCTCTAATCGGTTGCTTCCCAAGAAATTAGCCAAACTGCTCCGTGCTAAAATCTGTTTGCGACCCTTCAAACAGATGGTGCTATAAATAAATATGGATAAATGATATATATATTTAACTTTATATCAATGTAAAGCGACTAAAGTAAAATAGGAGAGCTTGGTAACATATGCTTGCGGTTTGAAATGATGATCATAATTCTATCTGAAACCGGGCTCTCCCTACTTATTAAGGATGATGAACAGAGCGTGCAAGGAATGGCTTTAATAATGTGTGGTAGTGATAGCCATAAAGGAGGTAGAATAGTGATATACGCCAGAAGTCACTCCAGGGGTATAATTTCAAATAATTTTGATAAAGTTAACTCAAAGAAGTCTAATTAGTGCTGCTTCAGGGCTAACGGCACCAAGTATCTGATTGAAACAATATATCATGGCCCAAAACGAGCAGTCATTAACAAGAATAACAGATCCTTCAAGCGTTATCAATATTACTTATATCAATGAATCCCAACTCTTTATCTCGAAGTCACATGCAGGATGATCTAAAATCATGTGGTTGGTTTAACAAGCAAATAATGTATACTAACCGTACTACGGAACTCATTGAACACGTGGAGGACATCAAATGACTGGTCAGATTGATAGACTATTCGGACTAGACTTTCCGTTCTTGATTGACTGACTATCAGTTGCAAACGTTTTTGTCTTCTCCCCCATATACTACATTAATCACGCCGCAAACAAAGTCATCATGGTTCTCAGCTGACTGTTGATATGGAACAAGACCAATCCATAGTTCTACCACAGTCGTTAAAACTTCCCTTCGCAATACTTTTCTGGCCTCAGAATTGTGTAGGATTATCAACTGATCAATATTGGAGCATCATGGAGACCATAAGAAATACAGGTTTGGAAGAATGTTTTAAAGGGAAGGATTTTAGGCATTATACAACTCAAGCTGAGATCCTTACTAACACCAAAGCACTAAGCTTCTCAGAATAAAACTTGGTAAACAACTAAATGATGTACAAAGCCATGAAGGTCAAACGAATAGTTCGACGAAGACATTATTGGGGGGCACTATACAGGTAATACTGAGCCAAGTGTTACGGATGTTATTGGAACTTCGATAAGACAAATCGTCAGGTTGCAATGACAAACACCTCATCGTGTTGGGAGAAAATCCTGAAGCGTCTCTCCACTTAACATGTTGCATTTTACTACACTTCATAGAGCCTAAACCGTTACTGAAGTAGCGAGAAGTCGGTAATCCACTCAAAAATTTTCAACAGTAATATGGAAAGTAAGCTGTTTTATGTCTGCAACGTTGTTTCCGTTACTTCAAACAGTGATATAGTTGAGTGGGTAATCCAGTCAGGTAGCTAATCAACCTCCATAAAGCATGATACAGCCCCAGGTAGGGTATTTTATGTATCTCAAGTGATATGCCCTCGTGAGACAGTTGGTAGTAGTGCTAACATTACAAGTTGACTGAACATGAATTATTTTTGGGACCTTATCACGGAGTTAAAAACTGTTCCATGCTCTGTTTTATTCGTGAAAATCCGGCTATTTGGATTCACAGTGGTTCCCTTTTCTTGCCTGTGGAACTGTCTGTAGGGTAGAACTGTGTAAAACCAAACTGGAAGGTATATGTATCTGGATTTTGTTCATGCTTTATACTACGCTTTCCAGTCTTCAATATTCACCACTGATCTTTAAGCGAACCTCGACTTTCTAGTACTCCTTGCATGAACAATGTTAAACTATATAGATCAGTAATTTGTAAGGTCGATTCACGAGAGAACTAAAACGACTACACAAGCGAACAAAAAAGAATTATTTGACATGTAATCCTCAAAACGTCTAAAGGTGTTATTCTGTGCAACAGAAAGGGCTCAGGTTGACAGCCTCATGTGTGGTGACCACCTGTTCAGAAACTCTACGGAGCATGGTCTACTTTCGTCTCAGACAGAGAACCTGAAAATTAGCGGCGACTGTCGAGGAGATTCAATCAAAGCTTAGGCTGTGGTTCATTTTGTAAGGAGGTAGTCAGGTATATTGATTCACTAGCACTTTCTAAGCCCTAATGAAGACCAATATCCACATATATCTACAAACTCACAACATTGTTGCAGTCGCTGTCCACACATAAAATAGGAATTACTTAGAACAAGCAAGGAGGCAAGTGAAAAGTTATGTCGTAGGATGAACGGACAGACTCTCTGAAGATCGAATTCTCCAACTGCGATTATTCTTTCTAGTTTTCAGCAACGTGCGAGACTCACATCACCCTTTGTCAACCCGCTTATCTATTCTCTATTGTGTTCGTTTTCATATTGTTTACGTAAACACTCTCAGATTCATTCTGATTATTACCTTCTCTTCGACGCTCTTTGTTCGACTTTTATAGTTTTCGTGTTGGAACAAAACATTTTCTTCCCCGGTACCGTAATCGCTGCTGAACCCAGCAACTCCACTGCCATAAGATAAACGCACTAGTAAATGAGAAAATAAAAACGCTTGATCAACTATTAAATCTACTAGTATTAGCACAGCCGAGTAGCTAGACAACACACACTGAACAGAATCGTGGGCCTTCAACCCCATGGAAACTTCACAATAGGGGGGAAAAGACACTGTTCGTTAAATGCAAGCTCGTTGAAAATATAGTGGGTACTGAAAACAAGTTTAAAGATGGCCAGTTTGTCGAGAAATGTGTATCCTAGTCAGGTAGTTGTTGCGAGGGCTCTGATTCTGATGTCTGTCAAAGTGTTTCCACCTTGAGTATATCTTGTAAAACTAATAAGGTCAAGATCAATTGAGAAGACTTGAAGACTTAATTAATTATTTATCGGTCCAGATCACTTTCCTTTAGTAAAGTAGTGATGACTCGAAAGTCTAGACCCTGCAAGCTTTTAGTTAGTAGATCTTTTTAATGGCTTCTAAAGACATGTAACTTTAGCTTAATATCAATATGTTGGGACACAAGAAAAATTTATTGTCAGTGAAATATTGGAAATATGTTATTTTAGGCGTAAGTTTCAATAATCATAAGGCGTTATCACTCTCACATTCTAGATTTCGATGGATCCAGGTGTTTCACAGTTAGCGATTGAATGCCAACATATAAGTAATGTGACGAAAGAACTCGAGTTTCTCTCGCTATTGCTCACACACGCAACATCTTACAATAGTATGGAAATCAATAATTTAAATAGCAATATGCCTGAAACAAGCGGCATGAAAACATTCTTCAGGATTTTAAGTCGTATATGCAGGGATTGTGGAGGCATTTGGACAGTAAACGAAGAGTTGGACTGGTAAGCGCTTTTAATCTTTTGCTCATTTCAAAGGTTTACTCACGACCACTCTCTTACCAAGTAAAAGTTTTTGCATAAATGTTCTGCTCTGTAGTCATTCTTTCGAATTATATGCTTTTTCTTTCTTAAATCTATTTGCAGATTGTAATCACATCATTTTTTCAGCTTTCAATGTAATCTAAGTGAAACGCACCACTCATATATATATATATATATATATATATATATATATATATATATATATAATCTACTATCTATTTAGAGAATATTCGGCTAAAACTTTCCCTTAGCGAAAAATTCTCTTCACTAAGCATATGCGTAAGTATTTTAGTCTCTTAATTACTTCAGTCATCGAAGGTGATTTTCGTGAAAGCATTTTAGTGTATGGACCTATCAAACGAAATCAGAATTTTGCTGAACACTTCACACTGTCTAGAAGTCGAAATTATTTTGACGACTGTATCCAGATCAACCTTAAAGTAACAAAATATCCACCTTTTCGGGGATAAATAAAAAGACGTTTATGCATATCTAGTTCACAACTGGAATTTTATGACTGGATAGAATAGTTTTTGTTGCTAGCCTCATAACATGTGCTATTCCCTGAGGTTCTTTAACTATACATCAAATTAAAATGATTTTATTCGCACTTATCACATATTACAGTCTCACCAATCTGAAAGAAATTTTTAAGTTCATCTTTGCGGCACAGTGCATTACATTGGCTTAAAAAAAGCAATATAGACTGATACTGTTAAAAACGTTTTTTGAAAATTCCATAAAGTGACCTGTATTGAGCACTGTCAAACATCTCAGTATTGGTTTTGAGCCACGAACAATCCTTAGGCGTAGTGTATACCTTTTATTCTTCACTTTACAATTAGTTGAGATGAAACCTACTTACCTGCCGCTGTTTTAACAAGAGTTGAACTGTTTTTAGGGCCGTTAACTTTCATCAGTTAGTTATTTTGGGACCAGATGTCGAATTCCTTGTTTTAATGACTTAAAGGAAAATGTCATAGAAAATATGAAAAGCCTCATTAAATGATATAGGATCATACAGTTTTGTGTTTTAGTATTTTTAACACTTTGTAAATTTGTTGACGACTATTTCACTTAGACTGCATTATTGAAAAGTTGAAATAGAAGATACAAATGTCCTACAATAATCGTATACTGAAATATTTCGTGTGCTAAGCAATGCCCACAACAATAATGTACAAAACGCATGAGTCGTCTAATTCTTGACCCAAATGTTGGAGTGAAAAATGCGAAATCCCTAATAATACTTCTATATGAGTCCTCACTTCCGTAGAATTCTATTTTGTACTACTTTGTGAGCGTCCGTAGTAACATTGAGCTGTTTGAAAAACTTATTATTAAGACTGCTTTTAAACTATTGAATAAACAGAAACTAAGTTTTACGTTATTATACTCTATATATCTTAATTTTTGAATGTATACCTGGTGAAATAAAAGAAACAAACGTACCCATTAGTTTATTCGGAAGGTGCAATGTAATATCAAATGATGCACTCATCTAATAAAAGAAGAAACAAATGACAACGTTTGGTTAAGATGAACGTTTTTGTTTGTAACATAAAAGTTAGACACTATGCTTATCAGTGAGACAAATACTGTACTGAATATTTATCCTAGGAAATATCTTTTTAAACATTTATGTACGGATTTCTCTACATTTTCTAGTGCTGACCTAAAATTAGTATACAGATTTATCAGTAGTAGTAAGAGATGCACACTAAGATGGCTAAAAGTACTTACAGCGGAATATTTTGAGTACTGAGTTAGTGTCCCAGATAGTATGCAAAGTTGAAAAGGGTGTTTCAGATAATAGAAATATAAACAGACATTTGTCTTTACAGATTTACCATAAAGATGGTTTTACCTTATTGTACTGAAAGTTGCGGTTAAATCTCATTAGAAAAATTCAACTTATTTATTTAATATCTTATATCCAGAAAAACATTGTAGTATATGACTAAAAGGATGTCCTACCATGTTAGTTTCTCAAAGTCGACAGAATCTCTTATTTATTTAGTAGTCAACGTAAACAACAGCTTACAACGTTTTATTGAAATTTAATAATAGTGATGATCAAATTACTGCCCGTGTATAGTGGAACCACAAAGCTTTTAGTGTTGAGTTTAGACTTGAATTAATAATTGGAAATGACAAATTGATCAGTTGGAATATGTAGCTTAGCTGACTAAGAAGATGGGCAGGAGATTGTTCATAGGGGATAAAATGTGTTTATCGAAGTCGATGTATGAAGTGCAGACCTCCTCATTAAGGTTTGCAAAGTAAGATATAATAAATGGCATAGGGTGAAATCTGGTTAATAACATAGACCTGTTTATTTGTCCTTCATTTCCCTCCCAAGTTTAATATTTGTCCCAATCTCTGAATAAACCGTTTCACTTGGTTTTTTGAGCTATGCTTACTACAACTAACTCAAATATTGTGATTAGGAACGTTTCGGCAAGCATCGTTCCCCAATGTCCCCATGTTCTTTTTATAAAGTATCACAGTTTGGTCAGGTACACATGTGTTTCCTGTTTTACGTTATTTACAACTGGTTATAATGTTCCAAACGTTCTTTCACATATCACATTTTCTTATAAACCGTCATCTTTTTACCTACAAATCATCAAATAATACTTTAAAAGGGCTTAGCACAACTGGTGTATTTCTTGTTGTTTTAAAATTTTATTATCATAAAAAAGGAACGATAGTTGCATGTATTATCCTGGGAAATCTGAATAAGCATTGGAGTGATGAATTATCATAAAGTACGCTCTGAATTTAGCCTAATACTAATTTTTTCTCCTGACTGTACATTCATCATAAAAACCACAAGACATTTTCCAGTCTAGCTGCCTAATATTAATAATAAAAGTTATTATAAGTTTGACTTCAAATCATAAAAAATATTAGTATTTGAACGAGACTTCGGAATGTTTGCCTTTTAGTGGATTTAATTTGTCACAAACTATATAAAGAAGATAAACGATACATTTTATTCCATGTTTAAATTATTTTTCGCGGTTTAAAGTAAAGAAAGCAGTAGCAAACCGTATCCAGCTGTCTTGTGTATCTGAAATCCCGTTTCGCTTGATCCTGTTTAGTTATCTAGTAACTGCGTAAAGAAAATCACATTTACCTTTCTCATTGTTGCAATACTAATGGATTTGCTGCACTTCATCCGATCAGCGAATAATTTGTAAGGGAAGTTGTTAAGTCGTAAAATATTAAAGCAGTAAACTTGAAAGATTCAGTTCTTATTGAATGAGCAAAATGTAAATAAAAAGATGATAGATTACTTGTCAGATGCTAATAATTTGTAGTAAAAAACCAGTTTGTTCATTCTATAGCTTAAATCACTTGCTTTTGTTAGTTTTTATCCCTTTCTGAGCTTTTATTATGAATACGTTTTTGTTCTGCACTGTGATTTCGTATTTAGAAAATATCAGCGAAATTTTCAATTGTACTAAAAGTACATGGATTTATAGCCAAAAATAAAATTTAGCAAAGAGATTTACTCTTTAGTCCAACAACTGAAATTTTATTTTCTGCAAAATTATTTATTTAAGCTGCACATTCGTCTATAGAAGGACAGAAACGATTGCGTTGATACGGTCGTTAGAAATCGTATTGAACACGTGGACTTAAAATCAAAGAAAAGTTTAAAACCGGTGGAGATCCATGGTTCTTTTCCGAAACCACCAGAAAAATCTATATTCAAGCACTTCAGTATAACAGTATCAACTATCCAACTACAAGCATTATCACTTGGTTCTAAATTTTGTAGTACGTCAGCTAACATTAATGAATTCCATGCTAAGATCCTGTTTGAAAGCTTCATTTGTCAGACAAATGACCTTATCCCTGTATCTAATAAACATTATGAGCATTTCAAACAACTTATTGACTGTTGTAATCAATATGTAAACGAAATATTTACAACTAGACGATAGCTCATAAAATAACATACATTTCAGTTATTTTATCTTTTAATAAATCAGAATTTAGTACTGTGTCACCCAAATAAGAGTGCAGGAACTGTCCTTGTGAACCTTCATAACTATATTATCAAACTATCCTCGATGTTATCTGATGCTGTTACATTCTCTAAAGAAGCCAATTTAAAAGATGCAACTAAGGAAATTGAACAAATGCTAACTAAAATCCCAAGGAAGATGAAAGAAGAGTTTATTATCAGTTGAGACCTCCACAAACATCTAAGACTATCGAATTCCTCTATATCAAGACCATATTGACTACCAAAAGTTCATTGGAAGAATGTCATCCTACTTCTTTTAATTGACATGAATAACTCTCCGTATCATTTGGTTACTAAATGGTTAGCTAAAATTTTACAACCCATCAAAAATCAAACCTACAAATACAACTCTCTTGATTCATTTGATTTTGTTGACTCAATTAGAAATATCGACGTAAATGATAAAAAAAGTTTTATTAGATGTCACTTCCGCCTTTACAAATGTTCCATTCATAGAAGCTATGTTTTTTATGTGACTATATCGAACATAACAGTTTTGATATTTGTATCCCAAAACTTCATCTAAAAGAGCTACTTCTGTGATGCACTCTCAATGTGCGATTCAGATTTAATAATGATTTTTGTATACAAACTGATAAAGTTGCAATGCGTTCACCACTAAGTCCCCTCTTGGCTGATTGTTTCATGCCCAATCTGGAAAATACATCACTTCGACTAATACTTAGATTTCATTTATATAAGCGGTATATTGATAATACTTTCATTATTTGTGAAGTAGATATGAACGTCAATGAAATTTCAAATCTATTCAACATTTGTCATCACTTAATTCTATTCACGTTGGAAGAAGAGGCGGACGAGGAATTTCATTTTCTTGATTTCTTATTGAAATGATCAGACGGTTCTTTACAGATCTATATATAAAAAACCCATCTAAAATGGTCAGTACACGAGTTTCTACAGCCGGATCCCATCGAGTGGAGAAAGTGAATTAATTCACTCTTTATCTTCGAGATTTGTCGATAGGAACTTAACGCCAAGTCAACATCCTGAAAAAGCACCAGCAGTTTAAAAGAAAACTATTTTTACGAATATTGAATGTAAAGGAGATACGGCTGCTGAACTCTTGAATAAATGGATTTCAAAATTCTTGAACAAAACATTCTATTCAACTGAGTTCCGTGTTTTCTTCTGAAGCCGGACTGCCATTCCGCTTTGAGCCGCATCGTTATGCATCTTCGGTGCATCAGGTCACATTGGCCGCACAAAGCGATCACTTTCCAAACGCATCTCAGAACATTACTCGGCGTGTCGTTTAGAAACAGAATGCAAAAGATACACCAGTTCAATACAGGAGCACCAAATCAACTCTGGAATAGTGTACACAATCAAAGTACCTGGGTTGAAGGGAGGTTGAATCACACACCTATGCACTGCTGAGGCATTGACAGTCCACCAAACTCAAGCCCCAACCCTGCGTGTAAAAACGATACGTCCAACCTCTCATCTTTCTTCAGCCTTAATTCCCTTCTGTAGTATGTTTTAGCGGCTTTTTAATCTTTTTATTAGTGTTTTGTAATTGTAAACCGTAATCAGTTATTATAATCCTTCAAAATCGTTTATGATCATCGATTAGCTATTATTATGACCTTTATGTTTTTTGTTTCCCTTCGTATCTGTCAGGTGGGCGATTATCTCCCATTATTCTGACCCATAAATTATTTTCATCCTTATATTCTTTTACTTATTTAGCTCCTTGATTATTTCACAACCTCAGTTGATATTTAAAGTTTCGAATCTCTTTGTGATACAATCTGTTCTATCCTTTTATAAACATATATTTACTACACAACTATAAATACGAATGTACAGCTTAAATAAGTGATTTCATCGGAAAGAAAAATTTCTTCGTTGAATTTTCTTTACTTTTACCCAATGACACAATGTGTTATTTTAATCATCTGAGGATTTATACTTCTTGTTTCTATTTGGGAAGCTGCTAAGTTGCTACTCTACTGTCTTAATGATAATATGGGATTTATTATTATTATTATTACTATTATTATTATTATTATTATATATAGTTACCAATACCAAAAGAACGAGAGTACAGTTCATGTTGTTTGATGAAGATAACCAAAGGTCCTGGGTTAAAATCCTACGAGCGGCATCGTGGATGCGCACTGCTGAGGAGTACCATGATAAGGCAAAACAGCCGTCACAATTGATTAATCACTGGGTGGTGATCAATGTCATGCGTGTCTAGTCCTGTGTTTCCAGGTTTTCAATTGTAGTCTGATATCGATCGATTCATGATCTCAATCAAAAACACAAATAATAGCTATTAATCCTGAAACATTATTCAGGCACTTAAGAAAAACCGGAAATACGTTACTTAACAGAATAAAACGAACAAAAAAGAAATTTAATCGGTGTGAGTTTGGAAAAAAAGCTAATCACCTTAAAGAAAAAGCCTAGTAAAGTGAAGGAAGGATAAATTGCAAGGCTGAGAATTAAGACGAGGAAAAAAGGTTTGGTAAGCCTATTGTGAGAGTAAAAGGTTTGGATAATAAAAAAACCAGGGAGACACTATACTTTACAATTATTCATCTACCTTATGGGTTACTTAGAATGCTAAGTGAGTGGCCATAGAATAGCCAGTATTGATCAGATGTTCCTTTAGGAGACTTCTAGTTCACTCGCTATAACCTTTTTGAAAGCATAAAGGATACTTTTCTTGAACACGCTTGGATAGATACATTTCTTATGATAATATAAAACATTTTATTTGTTGAACTACATGAGTTCGCAAACCAATTTTCGTTACACTTATTAGTGCACCAACACCTGTTCACGGTCAGGGTGCTTGAAGCAGGTGGAATTTACAGTAATAAAATGTAAATATGACATTAATATCATTAAACTGACTAACCAAAACTCTGAACCCATAACCAGTAACAGTTTTCGATACCTTTTAAGTATTTGTATTCAGCTGAAAGGGCCTTTTGTTTCCAATAGTTTGAGTTCATACTAATATATCAAATCCTATTTACATAACTTAGTAGGATATTTTGTAATGTATAGATAGCTATATGAATGTATTGAACTTCCATTTTAGCATTCATTTGAACAACTCTCGAATATTTGTTTAACCGTTTGTGCCATCATTATTCAATGAATGGAAATATTTGGATTGTGTTGCCTTAAATACACTATCCATGAGAGGGAAAACACAGGAGTGAACTAGGGAAATCTAAGTATTTAATTGGTTTTAATTCTTAAATAAATTATAAAGCTAGAAGTGGATAAAACTTTTATGGCACTTGCGTTCTAAAAAAGTACAAACTATTGTCACATATACCCTATATATTCGGTTGATGTTAAAGATTAGTTTAGCTGAGGATTGTCCATTTAAAGGCTGCGTTATATTAGTCATGAAGTGCAACAAGCTTTAATAAAAGAATTTTTACTGAATAATCCGGGTGATTCCTTGTTGATATTTTTCTAAGGAAAATTTAGTTTCATTAGTGTTTTTATAGTCTCAATGGGATTATTCTTCACATGAACACAATAATTTAATTAATTTTGATTAGGTTGGTATTCTATTTATTTGCTCGTTGCTATGGATGGAGCGACATTGATTTAAATGATGTGCGATCCCAGATGCTGGTACCATCAACGGGACATAGGTATAGAAACGTATCAAAAGATGAAGAGCTGAGAATGAAAGATAAAGTCATCCAAATCACCACGGAGCTAATTTATTTGTAAGTTTTATTTTGAAAATGGACTTTAAATCTCATTAAAACAACACGAACATATTGCTTTTGAAACGACAGATAGAGTCAAAATTGAATGTTTTATATATTACTTCCTGAACGCGGTTTACTCAGTGTATTTACTATGTTGCACTATTTATGATTAGCATTGTTGCACAAAAAGCTATGTATCTAAGTAAACTAAAGTGAGGTTGTAAATTGGATTTAGTTTAGACATAAACCACTGGAGTTACATCTTAGTAAACTGAAGTGTTTTGTTCACAGTATCATAATGACGCACTTTCGACTCCTTACATATTTTAGTGACATCACATAAGTACAGTTAGATGATGTCGGAATTTCATAAGTGTTAAATCCGCTATTCGCTCGGGATTTTTAATGCTAGTCTTGGGCCAAAATGCTTGCTAGCAAATGAATTGAAAGAGTAACATAAATCAAGTCCAAATAGTTCTCACTGCTAGTTTGCTCTCATAAGCGCTTGTTTAGTTTATACAACATACACTTAAGTGTTGTTTAAAGGGTTAAAAATATTCGGGAAAATTCTATATATCTTATCAATTTTTGATTCCTTATGTAGTAAGCTTGTTGTTTTGTTGAATGTTTTCATAATCATTTTGTCACATTGTAATGTTGTAACAGCGTCATTCAATCCCGAGCTAAAGTTAGTGAGAATAGCATTTGATGTTTTGATATTTAAAATTCACAAAAGGAAAACGACCAACTGTTTGTTCTGAAGTTTACAATGAGACATTAACATCCAACAATACTTAGTTGTTTTTGCTGCCATTTATTTGATAAATTGTGCCATAGACGTTCAAATTTAGTAAGAATTATATAATACTAGACTACACTAATTGTTAACAAGATATGACATGTTCTAAAAGTATACCATAACTTCAATCAGTAACGTATTCCATATATACTGTTGATGATTTAGACATGGGGCGCAATGTTTTAACCACTCCAACTAATACAGTATACAAATATTCATTCTGCACTGTATTTACCGAGTCTTACAGAGGATTCGATTACATTGCTGCATGAAGTTTATTATATGGCTTATTGACTGACCTCATTATCTATATTCTTGAAACTATTTCATGAAAAAAACAAAACTTCATACAACCAGCTCCCTTTGCAAAACTAAACGGAGCAAGTGCAACATGGTTTGCAAAATAAAACGAATTCATTTTACTTCACAGTTTCTCATCAGCTGCTTACAGACTAAAATTACAGTTAGTATTATATTTATTTAAAAAATGCTTCACATACTTTACTTTGTAAAGTCTAATTAAGTGTTCGAAACGTAACCGAAATCATACTAGTAAGAAGAGGAATAGGTTACAAAATATATGAATAAGCATAGTTAAGATCAATGTGCATTTATATTTTGGAATGGGTGTTATAGTTACTAGTAACCATAACCAAGACAAAAGAGATTATGTTAAGGTAATGAAATTAATAATTCATCGCGTAACCTCTCACAATGATGAGGAATAAGATCAAGTATATATGAACAATAAGATTATTTAAGAGATATATGTTAGAAGACAAAATAAGAGGGGATTGAAAAAAGTTAATAAAGGTTATTTGTCAAATACTTAGCCACTATATCACATAAAGGATAGTCACAATTTGCTTCAGTATACGTCGGTCACATCAAAAAAGGTAGTTAGCAACTGCTTCTGCAGAACGAAGTAAAACCAGTATTGGTTGTCTGCTAATTATTTTTAGTTCAAGACTTATATTCATTCTAACTTTACTATCCAAAAGATGCCTGGGAATTGCGCCTGGGAAGACTACTCCCTTTCAGACATATATCTTTAGAAACGTGTTCAGAATATCTGGTAGAAACCCTTCTATTTGTCTTCCCTATATACACGCTGCTGCATGTGTATGTAAATTTCTGAATGCGATTGGAGGTGACGTCCAAAGAGTATTGATCTATCCTTCAATTGTATAACGAACACTTGGAGTCGTATAGGGAGATCTTTGAACATTAGGAAAGCTTCTTTTCGACGCTACCTTGATTCTCTTATCGATTTCACCTTAAATCTAATCTCTCTCGAACGGAAGACCGATGAGAATATCTTTATAAAAAGAGCTATTTTTCTCGTATTTAGCAATAATTTTTCCCATTATTCACCTTTTGAGGTTCTGTTGTAGAATGACCTATTTCCCACTTATTTTATCGTCTGAACGCAACATTCTTATTCTATTAGAGAGTGTTTTGACTAGACATCTTTTGTAACTAACAGAAAAAGATGCTGTTATAATTTAAATACTGTCCTTTCTACGTTTTTCTCCTATATATCCTATATAGGGATCATGTATTCACTTGAATCTTGTAAACGCTTTAAAATATCTGATGATTTCAGCTTCAATATAAGTAGAGTGAGTGAAAGTTAACACTTTTTAAGTATCTCTAATTAACCTTCATTGGTTGGTAGACATCACTACGGAGATTTGACTTGGTAATTTCTAATAAACTGGTCAATCGATATATTGTTACTAGTGAAAATAAGGATATGTTTACAATCTCTGAATGAGTAAAAAATAAGATCTCCGACGTTCCGTGAGTTAGTGTAAGGCACTTCTCTGCAGAATATAGAAAACTGATTTATTTATTCTCTGACGTATGTTCTGATATTGTCTATGAAGACAATGAAAGTTACAGCTCAGAGGAAATAATATTTTCAATCGATAAGAGACCGCTAACCATGGTAAACAAGAATCTAAAGGATTTAACTGAAAGCATACAAACTTGAAGTGATAGTTTTTCGGACATTGAAATTCGTTTCAACATAATAATTAGAGACAAGTTGCAATTTTGTTTGTTATAACATTAATTTCATTAAATTGTATACTTGTAATAATTTTGTGTTTTCCTCAAGTTTCAAAATTACGGAACTATTCACAAACAACAATAAATATATCTTTTAGGATAAGAAGTCTTCCCCTTTCTCTGGCTGGTTTAAAAATGCTCATCAGTTCTATGAATTTAGGTGAGTTTTTGTAGATCAATTTTTGGTTTTTGTCGTACAACTTTTCAAACATCCTTTTCTTGATTATAAAGCAGCCTGTAAGTAGATTGTTTATTTTGTGGCTGCTAAAGCGACTTTATTTTTTTATCAAAAAGTTAGTGCTTCATGCTGATGACCAGCTAATGATCAGGATTTTATTTTATTTCGTAGTAAGATATACTTAACAGTACACTTCTAACTGAAAAGCTTTCAAAAGTTTAGTCCGTTTTTGAAGAAAAATCAGAAGTTTCGGACTGAACTTGTGTTATTTTTGATTTGGTATTTACTTTCATACATGCAAGTATAATATCGACATGAAACCTTTACCATCTGATGGAATGTAACTGAAAGTGATATGTGACGTCAAATTTAGTTTTTCAAGTTGCTATCATCAGAAGCACATCAACACCGATGTAAAACTACCTTCTTAACCAAATTGAAAAAATTCATCTATTGTTTAATAACCAATCAAAGCAGCTTCGATATTTTCTATGGTTCCTTACTGCAACTGCAAAACAGATATGTAGCATCTAGATGTTTATTATGTCGTTCTGGTATTATAAGTGGCTGTGATTTCAAATGAATAAGTTATAAGATATAAAAAATATCACCAAACAATATCTTAATCTACATTTTTGTTAAAAATGTTAATTCCATTAAATAATATGTAGTGTATTGTGACTGTCTTGAGTCTCGCGCACGTAACCGAGTGGTCCTGGGTTCGAATCCCGCGAGCGGGATCGTGGATGAGCACTGATGAGGAGTCTCATACTAGGATGAAACAGCCGTCTAATTCTTCCAGATTTTCTATGGTGGTTTAGTTTTAATTGACTTATGAATTCAATTATTAAATTAAAAATCTGTTTGGTAGTATAAAGAAGAATAATTAACTAATCTGATTAGTTGAGTTACACTTTGCGGACAAGTGATCAACTGAAGCTGATTGTGAATACAGTGGGTAATGCTGGAGCAAAAAATTGATGGTCATCGATGAGGAAAACTTCTATACAGATGTCCCGTTTCTAATTTTTTAAACTCACGCCTAAGTTCAAAGTAGAGGATACGTAAATGTTGTGGTTACCTGGTCAGTATTTTGGGAGAACCTCTTAATATGCAGATGTATGGTCCAGTTATATCATTTACACTACTGAAATAGGGAATACGATTTGAAGTCACAATAAAATTAGTCAATGAGTTTATCAACAACTTGTGCGACTTCGGTAAGTGACACACATGTCAAGGTTCTACTAGAATCAGTGAATATTTCATACCTGGAATAAAATCACTGTGCGAAAAATCTTAGAGTTACTAAAACACGGTATGCAATCAGTTTATTAATAATTTACTCCTATGTTTCTTTAAGAAAATGTGAGTTATTTGATGTAATAATAACGACAGCAAAAACTACATTTTTCGGGAGCATTGGGTCAGCAGAAGAAATGATCTCACGTTTCATCCTAATAAACGTGCTAAAATAAGTTTATGCTTTTTGGAAATGCATCTATATCATATTTACTTACTTTTAACATAATGTTTTAGTATTGATTGATGTTTTTATAACTGTTATTTCTCTTGACACTCAAATCAGCAGAAGCGAAACAATTTTTTTTAAATGACTTTCAACACTAGAATTATCATTATCCTTAATCATTATTATTAATTTAATACCCATTGTATAACAGCTCGTGGAATGCACCATACTCGAAAGCAAATAGCGTTACATGCTATCGATTGGTTGACGTTTGGATTACAAACGGATGGGGGAGGTGTGAAGGCAACTACAAGTCCTAGATTCACTCAGAAAATTTCTACAACACAGCCATTTCTACCAGAAGATTCAACTCCAGAAAGCATGTTTATGACGGTAAAAGTAGGTATTAAATGACAAACTGAGTAAAAAAGTAGGACACTATACGTATTGATTGAAAATAAATTCATGTGGTCATCGTATTTTGTGAACATTTTCAGCGTTGTTCTCCACTAAATTCCCTGACTTCTGATTCGTTTTTCATTCTAATTAATCTTTGTCACACTAACTAACCTTGGGTATATTTACTTTACTTAGAAAAACTAATGACCAATTTTTATCTATCTGCAATGTTTAGTGGATGGTGGTAATGCTAAGTGGATAGTCAAGATTATTTATCATTAATAAAATTAACAGTCCTTTGTCTAGTTTAAGTTATTATTCAGGACAATTTACAAATAGTTAGTTTTAAAATATTGTGGACCACAGTCTTGACATATTCTAAAAGAATAAGAAATCAGAGGGCTGAGTATTTCGTTTAGTTCGGTTAACTATTAAAATTCAGTAGCTGTAATCTACTCATGATCATCATAATTTCAACTGACAGGTAAGAAATTTGTGTGAATTTGCCCATTAATACTACTTTTGAAATAGCAAGATGTCTGAAGGGAATAGCAAAGGGATATCAATTTACTTTAAGACCAATCATGTGTAGAAATGATTTCGCTGTGCACATTAAGATGTTTTTCTTGTTATTTTGTTAAGGTTCAAACTACGAATCTATCACACATTCCAGATGGCAATGTGTTGTACTACACGTGGTTAAATGGGTTAGTAGATTTTCTCACGTAGCTGCATTAGTACTCTAGTGTTTTTATGTTTAATAGTTTCAAATAATAAACAATCTCTATCAACAACATATTTGAATGCTCTCAAAAATTGCTATTTTCAATCACATATTCTCTATGACGTGATTCCAGGATAATATTCGTTCACACGAAATCCTCATTTGTGATTGGTTATCATAAACATCAGTTAGGCCGAAAAGTTTAGTGGTAATAAAGAAATATTTGTTATCTCTAATAATGTTAACATTTACTTATAAAACACTGTTCAGTAATTACAAAGTTATGGGTGGCATACAGTCAGGTTACACGCACCAACTATAATATATCAACTTTATTCACATAGTGAGTGTTATGAGGCTATAACTAGAATGTTTATATCCAATTAATCTATTTATTTTGTGTATTACAGCGTAGTCCGTTTACTAGTTTTCAGCGTTAATTCCGGAGAGTTTGTTCAATTTTGGTGCTACTATGAGCTACGAAACCGTTTCAGCTCAGATGATAATTCAGTTCTACTTACATAACTAAGTGAACTGAATTGAGTTTATGACTCCCAGTACCTGAAACAGATTTTGAAAAAAATCTAAAGACTATCAGAGTTTTCTTTTGAAACGAGATTTGTTTGAATAACATTTAACGCTGTAAAGTAAAAAGAAAATCTTCAGATTTAAAGCCAGTTAATAGTGTTACAGCTGAACAGTGGTAGCTATTACTTATTATAATAAAAGCTACCACTTGTTAAATGTGTAATTGGTAAAAGGAATATTTGACTAGATCATTTGTTTCACACAGCTTTTGTCTATTTTGTGAATGTCTAACCGAACGAATTGTTATCTATTTCACCTTGATTACTTAACTCTATTTAGGCTTCTGTAACTATAAGACAACTTGAGTTCGTGTAAAGTAATGGTTACTGTTTATATATCCTATTTAATAAATGCTATACAAAATGTGAAAAGACAAGAAAACAGTTGGAAAAGACGCTCATAGATAAATATGATTTAATCCTAGTGCGTATATAATAGTTTGACGTCAGGATGGTGTTCAGACAAAAACGAAATGTATGACTACTTCTGTACTAACTAGAAATATTCGACTTTTCACTAACTTTGTTTCTGTTGACTACTCTAATGGAATCTAGGATCTCATTTGGAATTGTTGTACCGATAATAACCGTAGTATCCGAATGGGGACTTTGGGACCATTATATATCCTGTTTGGACAACTTTCGACAAATACTATTATACGATTGATCAAGCTATCAGTTGAGGTAAATTCATGTATAACGAAAACATTTTCAATGTTTTACATTTTACAATATAACCATTCATGTCAGACATAAATAAAACAATATCTTGAATTCTATGTAACTGACAGTATGTCAGGGAACATAAATGGGTGATTATTGACAAAGATGCTGTCTGTTATTAGTAGGCTTCGTGATTCGCAAGGTATATCTGATATAATATTGTGTTTTATTGTCACAAAGAATGTGCTATTTTATAATACGTTCCAACAAATTATTTTCAGAATACAATTTACACCTCTTAATAAGTTTTATTCACCCATTAAGTTATTTCTTTAAATTTAAAGCTCTAGTGAGATGCCATAATCACCAAGGTTCAACCATGTTGGGGAACTAGTCAGGTATCGCTAATTCCAATGGATAACGGTTGCGTAATATAGCGAACGAACTAATGCTAAAAAAGTTAAGCAAAACTACATAGCGTCCCGTACGATCCGCGAATTACCTGGTTCGCGCGATGCCCGAAGGTCCCAAGTTCCATCCTTGTGGGCCAGCTTGGAATGGATGTCCAGTGCCTCATGGTTTTTGGTAGTTGTGTAACAAAAGTTGACCAGTGACGTATAATACAAACTGAACAATCTCGAAAAATCCCCTGTACTCATTTTAACAGGATATTACTATCCATATAGTGATGGAAAGTTTCTATTATCCGAAATGAAAACCTTGTGGATTTTTTAGGTATTCTTACCACTAGTTGGCAATCAATGTCCGTAGGTATGGTATGTGCTTTGCACCTTCGAAGTGCAAAGTACTTCTATAAGACTGGCAGGATTCTAATCCTGTACTCACCCTGGATGGTGAGCAGATAGACGTAGTTGAGGAGTTCGTGTATCTGGGTAGCTGCATAAGTGCTGGTGGGGGTGTGAGTGATGAGATCAATGCACGAATAGTGAAAGCCTGAGCGGCTTATGCCAATCTGGGCCACCTTTGGCGCCTTCGTGATGTTAGTCTGGCTGTAAAAGGCCGGATCTACAACGCGTCGGTGAGAGCAGTTTTGCTCTATGCTTGTGAAACCTGGCCTCTCCGAGTTGAGGACGTTAGACGACTCTCTGTGTTCGATCATCGCTGTCTCCGAAGGATTGCTGACATTCAGTGGCAACACCATGTCAGTAATGCAGAGGTTCGGCATCGTGTGTTCGGGCACAGAGATGATAATGCAATTGGTGTCACCATCTTGAAACACCGACTTCGGTGGCTTGGACATGTTCTCCGAATGTCGTCCCAGAGAATTCCACGTCGTGCATTATTTGCCGACTCTGGGACTGGTTGGAAGAAGCGGAGAGGTGGTCAGTGCATGACATGGTGTCGTGGCATGAAAGAAAGCTGCAAAGGACTGGCTTGTGTTGGTCCTTCACGACTCCCTGGCTGGGGTCCGAGAGATGGTGCTACACAGTGGCTAGAGACGTTATCAGATATGGCTCAGAATAGAAGCCAGTGGCGATCCTGCTGTAACCTTCTTTTACTTTCTTCATAAAAAGTGGTTGTGTCTCCTTTACCTGAAAGATTTCTTCTGATTGTACCTCTTCGTCATTACTCTCTTTTTCTTTTGCGTTCCTTAGTTTTTTTTTCTTTCTACTTCTCCTCGAATTCCCATTGTTTTGTGTGGCGCATATATATTGGCGCTCTCTTGTACCAATATTTATGTGTTCAAATAAATAAATAAATAAAAATAGTTTGAAATTAAATATTTTCACCAGTTTAAGGAAAACATTCATACAATGTAAATAAGATTGTTTTGTCAATGTTAAACAATATCATGTCTTCAGCTTTCGTGTGGTCGATTATACCTATTTTAAAAACTTCTGTCCGTTGCAGTGTAAATTTTTGTTTCATTATTGTTTAAACAGAGTTCAATTAACTGATTTAAAAAAAACAAGATTAATTTACAAGGCTTTTTGTTTTCATTAATTTAAATGAATTACTTGGTTAGTTACTATTAAAAGATCATGACGTTTTGCTAAAGATTAATGAATAAATGATATCAATATTATGTTGCAAGAATGAACGGAAAGGTTTAATATAACCCACAAGAAAGTTCTCTTACTTCGTTTGCCATCAAATATGATTGTTAACTTTTCTGTAAATTGTACAAATTGGATGATCAGCCTAAGTTTCTGTCAAAGTTTATAAGAATCTAAAACAATAACCTTATTTTTCTTATGGATTAATGTCTATTTTGAGGAAATACTGTATGCTAGTCTATCTAGTTCTATTATTATTGATATCATCATCGTGATTACTAGTTCATGTTACTATGGTGAAATATTATGTATTGTGTTGGCAGGGTACATGTTTACATTTTAGCCTAAAATGAATAACAATAGATTTTTTGAGGCCTTCCAATGAATACCCTGCAAAGATATAAAATTAAAGTAATTTTAATGGAATTCATTTTGATAATGTTGAATATAATCATTCCAGTAAACCGAGACTATAATTTAATAACCTGTCCTAGTTTAATGACCATTACGAAATATACCCGATTTTATTATCATAACCAAACGTAATATAGATTTCTGGACCTTAAGTGATTCCGTACATTTGTAGTAACAGTAGTATGGTGTCATCCAGTTCACTTGGTAAAAATGGTTCTGTAAAACTTAGTCCTTAACAATTGTATAGTGATTGATCGATTCAATATTCGTATTGAAGCAACTTAGAAATACATTAAAGTAAATAGCTCAACTCTTAATTTTTATGTATTCTACGGTGTTGAAAGTCGAAGTCAGACGCAACGTAGAACCTAGTATTTATGTATATTAATCCAAGATCTGAAACCCCAAATGAAACTAATCTAATAAATGTGTGTTTATTACTGATTTATATGAATATTTGACTGATATATACTTTTAAAGTTTATCATTTTTCTCCACCAATAGGCAAAAAGGCCAAAAAACAATAACCTTAAAGCGTAAAAAAATAACCTGGCTGAGAGTCTGCAACCGTATGTAGAAAATAAATGATTTAACAGGGAATGATACTTTTGAAACTTATGCCACGTTCACAAATTAATATACTACTAACTTCAACGTTTGATAAGCTGGAGGTAACACCTCCTTATCCAGTCCTTAGAACCAGGTTTCTCTGTCTGAAGATTTTTTGAAATATTTTAAAGAAAATTGTTTACGACCACCGGCATTAGTTTATGAATGCACTCACAATGTCGGTGAAAATAAGGCGTAAAACCAACACCTTAATAGAGCACGGAATTCAACGAGAAAGCTATTTTTCACTGAGGGAAAAATGAAGGGCGTCTGACGTAGGGACTTATGGTTTGAAGAAACAGAAATTTATGAAAAATAAAATAACTAAGTAATAGGTTTTTGGACATTTATCCAAATATAGTTCAGCTCAATGTTATTTAATTTACTGTCAAAAATTACTGGTCACTACAGTAAGTGTCTTGCAACACTTAGTAACTTAAACTCTTATGCTGTTCAACTGTCAGTTTTAGTATGCTATTACAGTCATAGTCTTGATCCCAGTAAAACGGCATCTCGATTAACAACAGATATGTTCCTTTATATTACCCTCTGAAATTTATTAAGTGAATGGGTTTTTTAATCAAACGCAAATCGATTTCAATACTTTGTATACTTTTAGGTCTATTTTCAATAGAATGTTTTAAAATAGTTTTTTTGTCAGAAGGTTTTCCTTTTATTTCAGAATAAAACTAATATTGTTTAAGTAGTGGATACCTTTAAATGGAATGACAGTTGTAGTAATCATGCTAACCTTCCGAATTCTTTAGTACACTGCAGTTTGTATTAAAAATCAATGAATTGGGTACCTTTTGATTGTCGTTTAGGACAGTTTCCTGTGACAAATAATGTTCATTGTGTCAGTATACTGACAAATATAGAGATTACAATACATTCGGATCTGCTGGATAAGATTTTTATCAAGATATATACATTATAACTGCAGAATTTAATGAAATTTTCTCAACATTTTCGAGATGTAATCTAAATTGTTTGCTGCGTATCCAGTTTTGATAGTGATTATTTATCTGTGATTAATGTTTTAAGTAAGCAACTGTACACAATATAGGCAGGAATAAATTTTTATTCTTAGCATTTTATCCAATTATGTTTCTTTTCTTACGTCTAAACGCAAATGAAGATCCATTTCATTTATATTATTCACAAACAAATTAGCTTACTTACTTTCTTGTTTTCATGCTACGTTGATTAGATTATCTGGTTTTGATAATCTGTAAACTGATTTTCACAGTGCTTTGGTAGATTACTCAGTATATAGGTATATAGATAGATAAATAAAGATTTATTACTATAACATGTCTAACGCTTATCATACTATCAGTACTCGTTGGTTAGTGAGTTTAGCCTTGAAACGGTTACAATATACTTTCTGTTTTGTTGTAGGTCAGTACTTTTGGCTGACGCTTATATATATATATTCTAATAGTTTCTTAAAAAATCAATCTCTTCTCTCTGTCTCATTTCTTCTGTTTCTGAAATGCGTGAAAATCAAGCTGCATGAAAGATAATAACAATTAAAATAACCCAGATTATTCTAAACATATGAGAATACCTCAAATAGGTCTTATTCAATTTAAGTAGTGATAATACTATTTGTATGAGTAAATAAAAAACCAATATTAATTCAGTAAACCAAGGCCTGCCATTTTCTTTTTTCTTCAACTAGCATTGCTTTATTTCTAACCAATATAAATAAATCTGCCTGAATTAGGGTCATTCAAATGACAATCACTGTAATTGCAGTTACGATTATAATATTTAGTAGTGTTTATAATATGTGAATTACAGTAAATCCAAAGGAATGTAGATTATATATATATATATATATATATATATATATATATATATATATATATATATATATATATATATATATATATATATATATATATATATATATAAACGCACATTAACAGTAAGCAATTACTTAGAGACGTATGTAAGTGATGCATTGTATTCAAGTACTTAGGAACAGTTGATGAAAAGAATGTTCTACAATTATGATTAGGCAGCGGGGCATAACTTCAGTCGTGTTGAGATTTATTCCATTTGTTAGGTAAATTCGACCAACGCTTATGTTAACAATATCAACACTCTAAATTATTTTTAGTGTAGTAACGACTATATTTGTATAATTAATTCAAACGACGATGACGAAATCCTTTTAAACTACTAATAAATTTCTGAGGGTGACATTTCAAACATGAACATACCATAATGCGATGAGCACTCTTTGTCTAGACGTGTGATCGCATAAATCTTTCATATTGTTTACTTCACTGACCATTTGTAAATAATATCTAGTAGATTTCAGTCAAGAAAGAAGAGAACAAGTCTTACGTTTTTGGCCTGCAATCAGTCCGTGTTGACCACATATTCAAAATACAAAGTTAATTGAATTATTTTCAGTAACGTATTTTCAATTTTACAGTTAGCACTATCTGGTATCAACTTTACGGGTATCCGTCTGAGACAACCTCACAAAGTTTCAAATGTACACCTTTATATTTCTTTTTGTTGTTTCTGTTAATATTACCTCCAGGAAAAGAACATTACGATAATTCTATAAAGGTTTAAGTCCTATTTTAGAAAAATATTATTTCATGCCCTGATACATTTTGTTCATATCAGTGGCTTATCTTAAATTTTTCTTTCATACCTGACATCTGTTCATTTTTTGTTGATTAGCTTTGCATTGTCACTCGTTAGTTTGAATACTATGTATACAGTGTAAGAGAATTATGACAAACGAAACTACATTAGTTCACGCTTAATAGTAAACTGACTAAAATTAAACTGTTTACAGCCTATATATATCGTTTATTCGAACAGTAAAACCATTGCGGTTAAAAACAAAGTAGGTCACGATCATAAAAAAAGCTAGAGTGAAACATTTTAATCGTTTCCATAATTTCATTAAAATTTATTGACTAATTCATAATTTTATTCGTTCACAATTTCAGATATTGGAGAAACCAGAAGTCTGTGCTAGTGAAGTAACTGAAGGTGTCATAGATAGTAAGAAAGGTTTCTCTATATAGTGATACTAATGAAATCTACAATAACATTTCATCGTTTATTTATTGTTAACGCAATGTAACAGCCAGTTGCTAGTGTAAACGTCTCTATTGTAACTCAATAATTGAAAAAAATTATTTGATTTAAATAATTAACTTATGGCATATTATTTTACATGAAGTACTATTGGTAGGAATACAAATACGTTTCCTGAGGGATGTACCAAATTCAGTTGTGTTGCTATTACTGCTTCAATTTAAGAGTTTTAGTGTTCACTGTAAATCTGTTACAAAGGTGATATTTGAATACCTAACATGAAGTAAACATGTTATCGCAATGAGTCATAAGCCTTGGAAAAAAAATTCAAGCCCATTGAACTCAATACATAATTTCCATCCCAAAATGCTTTGAAAGATAAATTAATATAGATTTTGTTGAGATTCCATAAAAACCAGGTATCATAAACAAGAATATCGTTGATTGAGGTATTACTTATGATTTTTCAACATGCTGTCCTAAAGCCTTCTTCAGATTCACCATTTAGTAAGTAGTTTCAAATAATCTTTCAGTAGCTTGGTACTCATTATATTTTTGATATTTATTCCAACGTCGTATTTAGACCTTACATTAACACTTAACTACATTTATTTATTCTATTTTAGTTACTAACATTTATTTCTGCTCAGACATATTTTTTTTCCTTAAGGTCTATTTTCCTTTATATGGTACATGGGAAGTTATACAGAACTAATAGGTTTTTATAGAGATATTTCATTACTGTTTTCAGTACTTAATGTTTTGCTGAGAAGGTTGGTGCCCAGCGAGCAACTATGTAATTCAAGGACATCATTATCTGGAAACACACTAATGTCAAAAACGAATCTTTCTGCCTATAAATTTTCAGAGGTAAGCAAACAAGTCAGAAACCATTTTGTTACCAAGCTTATAAGCCCTCAATAAATTCTATTAATGTAATATTCCTCAAGTGAATAAACTTTTGAGACAATTAGTCCTTTTGATAAATTTCGATAGCGTTATAGGAAAACGAAGATTATCGGAACTTTATGATATATTAGTGCATTACATTTTGGACAATCTGATTACACATATACTTGTTAAGGACATTTATGTATAAAAATAAAACATCAAAGAGACAAATGGAGAGTAAAAAGAGACAAGGATAATAAAGAAAACAGTGTGAAAACAGTTTGAAACCTCATCACTCTGGATAATAAGCTAATATTATCAGGGTAGTTTTAAGATAAAAACTATCTGTTTTTGAACATACAAAGGGGGTTTGAATTTTCGTGTGGTTAAGGCTTCAATAAACCTTAGTATACGCCCTTCTACACTTTTGTACAACTCCATAAAAACTTTGTTAATATCAATCCTATGACCTGTTTCAACTATGTGTATGGCAATAGATGATGGATGTTTATACTCCATTCTTATTGGGTCAGTTGATTTTATTTGTTTCTCCAACCATTTAGGTACATGTTCACGCACCTTAAATATCAAACTTTTATTTTCGCTTGTTACATATATAGGAGTACGTTCAGAATCAGTTGTTTCCAAGACTGAGTACGATGATTACCAACTTGTTTCAGAGTAATCACTTCAATGTACGCAAAGCTGCAGTCAGAGTTTATTTAACCTGCCTCAGTCGATGTCCGAATGAAGTAGGTTTCAATCGTAATTTTTTTTGAAAACTTTGCTTAGTTTACATTTTTTCGATTTGGTGAACAGAATCAATTGAATTGGTCCGATAAATCTATCAAATTTCAGCTAATCAAAGTTCACATCAGTCCAAAGCTTTGAATCATAATACATTTTAATCATTAGAAAATCTGAGCTCTATCAGAAGCATGTGTGTAGCTGGAGCTGTCCTGTACTACTCACCAAAAAAGAAATTTCTCCCTGAGGTACCTGAAAAACTTGTTCTTGCTTTGTTTAAGACTAGATTAGTAGTGATAATTTTGTGTATCCAAGATTGTGATTCCTGAGTTCAATCGGGAACTGTTTACAGCTGGTTACTCATAGACTTTCTGTTAGCACCTTTTTTGCCAACTCTTTACCTATCACCGGCAACACGAATCTATGAAACAAGGTTCGGTGTGCTATTTTCAGTGCCCAACTTGTTTCATTCTCAAGCGCACTAATGAATATAGTTATTACAGAAATTTGTTTTACTACAAGATTATTTTCTGTCTTATTTAAAATGAATTTTACAATTAATCAATTACTTCACTGTAAGCTTTAAGAACAAGCCTAATGAATCAGTTTATGAGGAAAAGTAATCTAGTAGTTGCGTATTTTGAATGACTAACAAATGGCACCATCACATCAAGTATATCCATATTGAGACATTGGAAATGACTCTTGGAATCAACAGTAGAAGTTGCATACCATCTACATCAAACGCCACTCAAAATGATCAGATATAATGCAATTAATAAATACCTAATCATATAACTGTTGATAATAATATTAATAATTTTAGTAACATCATTAATATTATTATCAGTGTTTGTTTGTGTATACGTCATTAGACATTTAAAGAAGTTCTTCTTCAAACTGTAAATGATTTATGCATGAACGCGGATAAGCAATCTGAAACCTACCAAGATAAATCAGTAAGCTTTTATTTTCACTTTCTTTTAATGTACTATTCTTAAAGTTAGTAAAAAAGATTTTACACTAATTGGCGTACATAAAAATGGTCTTAATATTTTGTTAAATATTTCATAAATCAACCAATGTCTAAGTTTTTACATAACTGACATGACCAATCGCTTGATATAGTAACATTTCTTTTCATTTATGAGTGTCTGTAATTAAGTGACACACTAAACTTTCAACCGTTTTTAGAACAGTAGCTTTCATTCAAAGAATTAGTGTTTAATTTGACACCGCATCTATTCATAATAATCGTTGCTTCCTTTTCTTAAATACATCTTTTCTCCTTAATTTTTGTCAGTTAATTAAGAGAAAAATCAAATGCTTTAACGAAACCAAACAACAAAACAAAAGAAATACAATTTTAGGCTTTATTTTTGCATTGTATATTTTACATTTTACCAGACTCAATATGTCACCATACATTCTTTATTTAAAGCCTTTAATTACTTAAAACTTTAGTTAGCAGACAGTTATATTAATTACTTGCAGCCCTCAAATTTCGAAAGCTGGAAAAGTAACCCATATTTCAATGAAAGTCTCCTAACTCTTTGTCGATCTTTAATTAAGGTAAGTTTTCCCATATTATCAAAATTACCAATGTGGTTGAAAATTCTTTTCTTCAACATTCATAATAATTTATTATTTTTCATATTAATTGTGTTTATTCTTACCATGTAAGAATGTAAAATAAAACAAAAGTATCCAGGCACTTACTAAACAATATAATCATAATAATAATTTGTTGGTAACCAGTGAGAGCGTAAAATGTGTTCTGTATTTCTTAATTCTGAATCCAGCTCTGAATCCTAGACTAGAAATCAATCATCCTATTAGATATTCTTTCCGAAACGTCCAAATGTATACAGCTACGCAAATAGTATACAATTTATAGAGCGAAAATCAAGTAATGTTACTGATAAGTCTTGTCAATTTGAACGCTTTATTCGGTTTCTAAGCTATTCTGGCAACGCAGCAACCTGAATTCGAGAGAAAAGGAGCAGAATAAGCGAAAAACACTTTACTCCAAAGGTTCAATTTTGTACAGAAAAACACGGGTATTTACGAATGTTAACATTTGTTAAATCAACATCGTATTTTGGCCAATCCGCTAGAAGACATTATGCTACCGACTAATAGTAGCACGCCACGTCGATATTCTAGAAAGCTCCGTCATGCTCTGATTAGCTAGCACTCCGGCCCCTTTAGGGCCTCTGGGGGCTCCGTTGCAGTTCATGGAAAGCCTACTCAACAGTTACATAGAAATATTTTAAAGTTAGATGTTTTTACATAAAGTCCCTTATTCAGCAACCATTCTTTTAAATAAAATATCAATTTAATTACAAAATTTTCATATGTTAATTTTAGAAAGTTGGTGAAACCAATCTGCCTTCGAATACTGGGGACTTACAGAACTGTTTAGTTAATTTTTATTTGGGTCATTCATCTCAATATGTCCGCGATAGTGCATGCAGTCTGTACCTGACATTGTGTAAGACATTTTAGAGGAATCTATCAGATGGTTCTTACAATCTATTATTTTAGAGATTTGTTGTATACCATATAAAATATAAATTTGTGTCTTTTCAAATACCCCTATCATAATCTACACCAAGGAAATTTCATCATATGACTTTTGTTGACACCTTTTAATAATAAATACTTAACCCAGTGTGATGCCATTAAATGCCAGTAATAGTGACTCGTATATAATCCATAGGTAATAGCAAATTTCTTCACGAACAATTGGAAATCGAAGTCTCCAATACATATTTCAGTAATTACAAACTTTACGCAATATCGTCGAATGTTTTACAAGTATGTTTTATTCAAAAAGACGTGAGGTCGTTACTTTAAAAAAAGGATTACGTAAATTTCTGAAATTATTTAAAAATGTTTCAGAAACTCTGATAGCATGCAAATGTTGAAGTATGTTGCTAACTTGAAGTCTTTTATTGCCATTAAGCGGCGTTCGCTTAAGAACCATTGGAAACGAATTAGCAATAAATTGTTACTATTTGCTTTTAATCATATTGAGTTTTACGGTCATAACCGACGACAGTAAATGATGGCTGAGATATATCGCGAATTGACTGAGGCTAGAAATTCGACTCTTGTTTAATAGAATCAAGGCAACCTAAAGGTCCTGAGTTCAATCCTTGGTGGAGTCTCTCACTGTTAAGAGTTTCCAAACCTGTAGGAATCAGTTGGATCTGTTCTATCCTTTGCCCAGTCATTCAATTGCTAATCTTCATTTCATATATTTGATGATGACTGATACATGATTTGACAGTCTCGTCACATTACTTAAGATTCAATGTAACCACAAGTAATTATGCTAATAATTATGTCAAGATGTTGATTTTTTCCGCTTTACAAGTCATCAGTGCCTCAAAAAATCCCAATCGTATTCGTTACCTATTGAATAAAATATTGGAGAAGTGGCAAGTTAAGCAAGATGTGTTATCACCACTTTCAAAACTACTAATTCAAATAAACGAAACGGAAACTACCACACCGCGTGGTAAGTAGCATAAAAAGCAAGTTTATTTCATAATTTTTATTCACAGATTCTTACGTTAATCAAAATAATATCACCAACCAAAATAAACATCATTAAATATTTCCTCATTCGATATTTATTTTACTCATACGTTTATACGGGAATCATTAGGAGCAAATAAAATTTTTAATTATTCACTTAATAGTTGTCGATAATTCGACCTATCTGTAACTTTTCCAAGTATTTTAAACCTTTTCGTCACGAATCAGTCAAACAGCTGGTACATACTGATATTATGTAGGCATTGTTCTATATGTTTGCTATTATAGTGACGATATAACATAACAAGTTAAGTCCTTACGTCTAAATGCAAGTTAATGTACGATTGTAAATCTTTTTCTACTTGTATCTAATAGCATTTCATATATCATGTTCGAGATTCATCATAAATTAGTTGTTACCATTGTATTTGTTCAAAGTGAATCAAAAAATGACATAAAATAGTCATCTTTGTTGTGCTTACAACGCGAAAATGTTATAATTATGTTGGAATATGTTGAACTATTTTCCTTTTATTTATTTATTTCTTTTACAGAAATGCCTTTGACTGTGAGCTCCAAATTAAGTTGGACATGGCGTGAGGGGCGCATGCGCATGTACTATTTAGTCGCACGCTCATTAGTTGGGCTTCATCTTAAAGCTCTTCACGAATTAGATGTTGATGGTTATAGCCCAATGAATTCTGAAGACTTTTGTATCAGCCCAACCTTTACAGGTAAAATCCCTTTGAACTGGTTAGATAAACAATTCTAAATCGTTTGTCCTTTTAGATGATTGTCCTCAAAGAACCTTATATACATCATCAAAGAATAATTTACACCAATTTGGCTTCAGTCCTGTACCAAAATCAATTCCTGCCGCTCTTGTTTCAAATCCAGATCGTCGAACTCCAGTTAATAAATCATCAGCATCGGTTAGTTCAACATTTTAAATTAGCCTTGTCATAGGTTAATTATAGACGTCCTATTAATTTTTGATGACCACACTTTGTACTTAGGTTCATCTAAAGGAACATTCAAGTTTCTAATAGAATAATATTAACCTTTCGTTTTAAGTCTATTCATTTTTACACGAACTTTTATTTTAGTTATAGGTCTCAGGAAGTTCGCTTTGATGTATTTAGATGTGAAAGTATTCTTGGATTCTACCAAATCCTGTCGATCTCTCAGTATCATTAAGCAGTAGATAGCAAAATGATTAACGGATAATTCTTATGGAACATAGCTTACTATGAGTATACATGATTTTTTATGGCTTTTTAAGAATGCTTCCTTATGGACTTTTTTTAATGGAATGGATTTGCTTCAAGTGAAGAGATTAAAAAAGTTACAGTAGTTTACCTGTAAATAATATAATATAATGTGTACATAAAAATTGGGAGGAATCATAGTTTTGTGAAAAATACTAGAGTATTTATCTAATTAGATAACTCCATTTTTGTTTTACTAATGAAGTTAGTTCATCTAGCTGTTGTTAAGGCTGTTACAAAAAAATTACAGCGAAATCTGCACTAATTTCTACTCTGGATCATGTTCAGTGACGTTCAAAACTACTCGGTTGTATGATATTTGAGGACTTAACTAGAAAGTTGTGATAAACTAAAAACATCAATTCTTTACATCCATCTTTCTATCTTTTTCCATCTATTTCTAGCGTCATCAAGTTATGCGCTAATCCGAAAACTGTAGAACACTATTCAGAAGGAATATTTTAGCTATTGAGGACAGTGTTCTAAAGACCATTTCGTCAACTAAATCATACGACCACTTGATGGATGGTTATAGTAGATAAAAATTGTGTTTAAACCCTGATTCAGAATAAACTTAAATCTGTATACTTCATAGTATGTCAGTACAGTCAACTCTTGAACAAACGTGTGACGTTTCTTATGAATTTACAAAGACATTTACCAAAGAAATTGAAGTGATATGACGCTCTGTTATTTCTACTCAGTGTAGGGTGAGCAGTATCTGGATATATATATATATATATATATATATGTATATATCGCTTATTCGAATAGTAAAACCATTGCGGTTAAAAACAAATTAGGTCATGATTACAAAAAAAGTTGAACACAGTTCGTTGTTCACAATTCATATAAATTTTAATAGTTGAATTCATGAGTTGATGTAAAATAGACCACCATTGAAAACCTGGAAGTACTGGACGACCGCTTCGTCCTAGTATGGGACTCCTCAGCAGTGCGCATCCACGATCTCGCACGCGGGACTTTTGGTCTCGCGCGTGGACGCTTAACCTTTAAACCACTGAGCCGGCATCGACTCATGAATTTAACTACTAAAATGACTACATTCTCCACAAACCTCCATTCGGTTCATATAAATTTTGTTGGAAATACACTTTAAAAAACAAAGAAAAGTAACGATTTTATCAATCTGAAATCAGTACATATGTATGAATTGCTAACTTCAAGGAAAACGTTCATTTTAGCAAATTATTAATAAATGTTACTAGTTTGAACCTTTTGATAGCTAGGTTATTCCATTTTTGTTAAATTTTGGTTTCCTTATAGTCACAACCTGTAGAAAGTTCACCAACGCTGTAAGTAAAGTTAAACCGTCTACTTGAAGCCATTTTACATTTTACAATATTTTTTGTGATGATTTAATAATTTTCATTAAAATACCATACAGTGAAATTCGATGAAGATATTCAATTTCAATGAATTTATGATCAAAATATTCGTTTGCATATCGATGTATTTATAATGATTTAGTCACGCGAGAAAGTTTGAACAATGAGTGGCATTATCAGAGTAATAATGAAAACTATAACATCATATATAATATAAAATATTAAACATACAAGACGGCATAATATTTATATAGTAAGTATAAATAAACTATGGATACAAGACTACTATGCTAATGATCAGTTACAATGTGAATGTAATAAGCAAATTACAATGACTACTATTATATCTTTAAATCCGAAGGAATGTGAAATGAAATCACAACTCAGTAAAACGCCAGCTTAAATTGATACATAATTCAATGAACCAGTACAATAATTTAATAAATGAAATTATTATCATCAAAAATAGTAATAGGTTAAGACCATTTTAAATACATATTTCAAAAAGTTTTATGTTGCACACGAAAACCGTATTCCAGTTAACCAATGCTTTTAATTTTTAAACAGTAGTAGCCGAAATAATCTTCATAGATCTAAAATGATCATTTAACCAACGTTAAAATACCGTATAGGTTAGTTGGGCTATCGAAATCAGCTAATTATGTTTATATTCAACTCCTAACTGCTTTTACAAGAAAAGAAAACCCAGTTAGATAAACTGTACAGTTTGATAATGAATTTATTGGAAAGAAATAGGGTACAATTTCAGTTTCTACCACGATTTCTCCTTTCATACATATACGATTTAAAATTGGTTAGTCAACATTCTTTGTTTATACATTTCATACATTACAAACTAAGCTCACCAAGGAAATAATTCTGACTTGAAGTAAACATTGATTAAAAGTATTTGGAAGAGGAACTACAAGATGCTTCGAGGAAATATTATCCTTCTATACATGACAAAAATGATATCATTATTAATGTCATTCTTATTCGTTCACCATGATAACGGATTTAGTTATAGTAACACTTTTATTTAATATGTAAGCTGATCAAACCTTAATTGAAAATTAACAATAACAATAGAAATCAGAGCTTCAGTTTATTTCTATAAAAAGAAATTGTTGCTAAACTAGTGAAAAAAGACCTGAATTAATTATTATTATAAACTGTTTTCAGTGACACACAATCTTATTAACTTAATTTTAGCTTATGGATTTGTAAAAATCAACTTAATTGAGACAGTTACTTCTCTTTTATAAGTTGTCGTTGTGTTCATTAAATGTTGCTTTCATCACTACATGGTGTCAACTACAGAGCTATCCGGAAACCAAGGTGTATTGATTCACCATTTCATTTTGTTTTAAATCACACCTTCGACTTTACGCTAGATTGTATCCACAATATTTAAGTCTCCTGTAGAGCACTTAACTATCAGCTAATGAACTGAAGTCTAGTGTAGCATATTCTCCAACGAATCAGTTTGCAATATTGCTCGATCATCATCATTCAGTGTTATCAGTTATTGATAATGTCACTCCTTTCTTTCGTTTATTTAGCTTTCAACAGGGGGCAAAATTAAGCTCTCCACAAACGTCCATTTATTTAACAGTTTTGGAAAATATCCGAATGCTCGACAACGAAAGAAATGTGAGTTTACATTTCTGAATGTTTATTTTGATCGTAAATTCCGAACATTTTTTAGAAATTTTCCTTTTATTTGACCTGTATATTCAGTCAGTAAAATTACTAAAGGTTATCGAAATTGACCAATTGCCAAACGTATAAGATTGTTACCTTCCTGTACACAACACCATGCTCATGTTTAACAGTGTTCGAAAATGTTGAATATAAACTAGATATTTGTTTACTATACGATGCTCTTTATTTATTATATCTGATGCATTTACGTCCATCTGTATCTTAATTTATTCAGCTCCCACTTGATATATTTCTGTGATTTGGATCAAAAAGACACTACTAAAACATAATTATTTTAGCACTGTTTAGAATATTAATAAATTTACAATTCTATTGTGCTATTTGAAAGGTTTGATTGATTTTTTTAAAATATTGATTACAAAGCAAGTGTAGTAAATGAGACGAATCGAAAAGAATTAATCTATATCAAAAACTATTAATAAGTTACATAGTGTCTCAAATCATTTTCTGATTCTTTTTTAATTTTCTTATAAATGGAAGTGTTTTTGAATGATGAAGTTTTGTCAGTACCATACAAGTAATATTTGTAGTCCATCGTTCTCATCACTAAGGTGAATTTTCATTATATTCACTGAGCCCTGTGATCACATGTTTCAAAATGCGCCTTTACAAGTTTCCGAACATCGTCAAAACACACATTTTTTCAACAACTAAATCCAATAGTTTTATTCTTAAAATGTGATGAATGAAAATTTTCATCTTACCGTTTATTTAAATTCATAATTCCCAGTAGTATCAACTGCATAATTAAGTAATAACATTTCAACATTTCAAGTTAACAGATCTCGGAAATTTGTTAGCTTGTTAAAAGACATCACTTCGCATGTTTATGCCACAGCAGTTTCATAAATATTGCTTCATTAGTGAAGCTGCTAGTAAGGGGTTATCAAAATTTCAAATTCTCATATATAATGAATCTTTATTTATGTTAGATCTCACCTTTTTCGCCCTAAAAGAATAAGAGTTCATCTAATTTCGGCATCTGTTTCGTCACACATAATCTGATAAAGTGTGGGTTTTAGAAGTATTGATATTTGAAAAGATCTTTAAATACTACTTTTCTAAAGCTGCTCATCAGTATAATGGAAAAAAACAACATCAGTTGACATAAAGCAAATCTGGAAATTCTATCTCTTTAACCGCAAATAAAGATTAACTGCTTCTTGAATCGTTTATATATATGAACTTTTCTGTAAATCTAAAAAATATTTGTTATATTGAAATAATTATTCTTAAAAATAAATAAATGATTTTTCATAAGGTGATGATTAAAATTGTATTTAAAGTAATGTTGATGTTAATAATAGCATAATACTTTAAGTGAATTTACTTTCTTGGTTTCTTATAGGATAAACAGACGGATAGCAAAACTCAGTCGTGGATTAAACGTCTAAGTATAGTGTCAGGATTAACTTCAACGAGTAAAACAAATGTCGGTCATTCAGAGTTAAATTCTATCACCATGAAATCTATGTCATTCAATATATTACGATTAGCTGTAGAGTGTACATTAGATGAGAACAATGGTCTACGTCATTCAGCCCAAAAAGTATCCGTTATATGTAATTTTTCCTATCCTTAATGTTTGATAAATTGTTTTGTTAGATCGTATCCACAAATAAAAAAATGTACGCACATAAATTAGACATTTTGAAAAGAGCAAGAACAAACATAAAGGGAACTATGTGTATGAAATTAGACATTTACTGTATCGATGAAGATAAACCATGCTCAAGTTTGATAACAAAAATCTAACATTGTCTTTTCCAGTCAATTTTAAGTCACATTGTTGACCACTATCAGTTATCTATAATTGTTGTTTTGAATCAGCTTGGATTCAAACACATGCTGACTGACTGACAAACACATGTTTATAAATATTTTTTGAAGACATTAACATAAAAATTATCCTAGCATGTTTGCAATGAAATATTTCCAACGACGTGTTCAGAAGTTTGGACGAAGTTTTCGGAAGTAAATAGACCAAAAACAAACATTAATGCAGAATAGTATGAATTCATATTATTTCGAGGTTTCTTGTCAGCTGCTTACAAACCAAAATTGTGATAGAATTTTTACATGGAGATAGTGTGAAACAATTGACATAAATGAGTGTAAATAACGTGATTACAATAATAACTATATATATATGCTGGAAACAGGTCAGAGGTCAAAAGAGGGGGGTTAATCCAGGGTGGGTGGTGTAGTAATTTAGTGAAGTTCATAAATTGTGTGATAATTGTAGAGATTAATGGAATTAAATAATGATAAGGTAGATTACGTAATAATAATTAAATAGGGTTTGGAAAGTTAAGATGATTTAAGAGGATAAGGTGATGGAAATGTGTGAATAAAATTTATTTTAAGAATTAGGTAATAGGGGGGAGTATAAATTATCTTAGAATAAGTAAATTAATAAAATAACCAAAACACAAAACAAACAGAAACAAAAGGATTACCAGGGTAGTGATAAGTTTATTAAAGTCTCTTTTTGGATGCATAAGTCCGGTTTCAGTTTCTTAATTGCAATGGCTTCAGCAAAGCGGAGAGTGGTAGTAGTTCTTTGTCTATTGATAATTTTAAACGCGCGCATAATATCGACGGTATGCCCGGTGTCAAGTAGATGCCCAGCTTTTTTTTAACACTCATTTATGTCAATTGTTTCACACTATCTCCATGTAAAAATTCTATCACAATTTTGGTTTGTAAGCAGCTGACGAGAAACCTCGAAATAATATGAATTCATACTATTCTGCATTAATGTTTGTTCTTGCTCTATTTAAATTCATAAAGGGAACCAATTGCATGAAATTTCTGAAAAGCCGTCTCCCTGTCCACATTTTCAAGTCACTCAACAAGTTGGTGACAATTCGCTGCAGGATATCGAGAGAAACAACAAGATTAAAGTTTTTGTCACGTTGCCTTAACGATGGCTGTTTTCCTCGCCACATTTTTAAAGCTGTCCGCGCCTGCAAAATACCTCCTTCGTTAAAATATCTTCGACGTGTCACCAAATCCCAAATTGAATGCACTAAGGATCTTATCTCTAAACATAAAATAGAATCCTTTGGTTATGACAAAATCGTTATGGGTTTAAATATTGTATGTCGTATTAAACTTATTAACTTCATTCGTGATGTTCAGTCGGAAACCAGTCACAAATTCATGAAGACATTAACCAAAACACTTGTTAAAGAACAAAACCACGTGGCATTTCCTACCAATCCACGAAAATACATACAGAACTTATCTAATAAAAAACTAAATCGAATCGAAACTGAAGCACTCTGTCTTGGATTCAAATTTCATATCCCAAGAAAATGCAACAGAATAGACACTGAGATCCAGTTTGAATACTTATATCAACAACTGTCAGACTTTAAACCCATGAACGACGAAAAGCACAGTTGGTTTAAATCTAAATTAGTGGATATCACAAACCAGTATGTTACGACACCAATCCCACACTCAAGGGTGTTCACCGAAGACCACCATCAAGCATTGGAAAAACTTATTAAAGACGAAACAATAATGCTACTTCTTCCGGATAAGGGTTCCAGTGTAGTCATTCTTAACAGAGATGAATATATCAATAAGGTAATGACCATTTTAAATAACTCCACCAGATTTATCATTGACAATACGCAGAAAGACTTAACAGATGCAACAGAGAAACGTGTCCTTAGAAAGTTGAGAGAACTTGTTAAGAAAAATCTAATAGATAATCATACGTATAATGAACTTAAACCAAAAGGGTCACAATTGCCATACTTATATGGGCTACCCAAAACACATAAACCCGACGTCCCTATAGGACCAATATTATCGATGGCCAAATCACCTTTCCATAAACTTGACCGCTGGCTTACTAGATGCTTGGAACCAATCCGCAAAAAACTAGCAGCCTACAGTTTGAAAAACAGCTTTGAATTTGTACAAAAACTTGATAACCTTAATGTCTCTGACAAATTCATGGTTTCATTTGATGTCTTTTCGCTTTTCACAAATATCCCCTTGGAAGAAACGGCAGAGATCATATGTGAATATCCAGAACTCCTGCCTTTACCACCCCAGGAATTTAAACAGCTCCTGTTTTTGTGTACAAAAAAACATACAATTTAAATTTAACAATGTTTTGTACCGACAGATTGATGGAATAGCAATGGGCAGCCCTCTAGGCCCAATTCTTGCCGATATATTTATGGGACATCTGGAACAAAAGAAACTGAAGCACGCAATCGACAGTACCACACTCTACTGCAGATATATGGATGACACGTTCCTTGTCTGCAAAAATCACCAACACTCCATGTACCTACTTAGTCTGTTCAATAAAGTACACAAAGATATAGAATTTACCATGGAACATGAAGTTGATGATAAATTCCATTTCCTAGATATTGGAATTAGGCGAACATCAGACGGTACACTACAAAGACACATTCACCGCAAAAATACTTGGAGCGGAGTTTATCTCAACTTTAACAGCTTCTGTTCAATGAGTTATAAAAAAGGTATTGTGCGAAACCTTTTTGACCGCGCACGAAAAATCTGCTTAAAAGAATGCCTCGAAGAAGAAATTACTACAATCACCAAATGCCTACGTGAAAATGCATATCCGGATAAATTCATCCACAAATATGCTAATACAAACCCTCCGATTAAGCATGATACAGTTGAAAAGAAAACCTGCTTCCTATCCTTACGCTTCAAAGGAGATCAAGTCGCCGGAATTATCAATCACAGAATTAATTCCGCTTTAAAAGTGACCTACCCGGCAGCCAAACTGACTACGTTATGGAAAACATACTGCTCACTGAAACAAACGAAAATCGACAAGTCCTCTCCCCTCAGTTGCTCCAACTGCATTGACCAATTCACATGTACGTGCCGTAGCACATACATTGGAAGAACTGAGAGAAGAGTACAGGTTCGCATTTCTGAGCATATTCCGAAGAACTTGACGCTGCGAGGGACTAAAGCTTTTAATAGTGCAATAGCTCGGCATCTACTTGACACCGGGCATACCGTCGATATTATGCGCGCGTTTAAAATTATCAATAGACAAAGAACTACTACCACTCTCCGCTTTGCTGAAGCCATTGCAATTAAGAAACTGAAACCGGACTTATGCATCCAAAAAGAGACTTTAATAAACTTATCACTACCCTGGTAATCCTTTTGTTTCTGTTTGTTTTGTGTTTTGGTTATTTTATTAATTTACTTATTCTAAGATAATTTATACTCCCCCCTATTACCTAATTCTTAAAATAAATTTTATTCACACATTTCCATCACCTTATCCTCTTAAATCATCTTAACTTTCCAAACCCTATTTAATTATTATTACGTAATCTACCTTATCATTATTTAATTCCATTAATCTCTACAATTATCACACAATTTATGAACTTCACTAAATTACTACACCACCCACCCTGGATTAACCCCCCTCTTTTGACCTCTGACCTGTTTCCAGCATATATATATAGTTATTATTGTAATCACGTTATTTACACTCATTTATGTCAATTGTTTCACACTATCTCCATGTAAAAATTCTATCACAATTTTGGTTTGTAAGCAGCTGACAAGAAACCTCGAAATAATATGAATTCATACTATTCTGCATCAATGTTTGTTCTTGCTCTATTTAAATTCATAAAGGGAACCAATTGCATTAAATTTTCGGAAGTAACCAGACACTGTGGTGTAAATACCTTCGAGGTTACTGTAGTACGAAATCTGGAACCTCTATAACCCTTTAAGTACATTGTAGTCATATATATACTAAATTCCACAAGTATGTTATTTCATAAATGTCACTGAAAACAACCTCAGTACGGTATCGATCTACTTTTAACTGGTTTATTCAGCATTTGGCTTTACGTACTGAAGTTAGGTGATTTAAGAGAGAGAGAGAGCAATTCAGCCTTTATTCAATGTGAAATTATATGTTTATGGAGAAAAGGAGAATAGTGGAAGGCATTTTGGTGTCTAGAATTTTCGGGACCTTTTTTGTATTTAATCTAACAGTTCATTGAATAATAACTTCCAATTATTATTTGCTTAACACAACATTCTTATTTCAATAAGCAACGTTTTCGTCAGTTAACATTTGTAGTACCCGGGATATAAAATACTGAATATCTAGTCTTCTGCCTGTATTGCCTTCTTGCATATGGTTTTTCATCTCATCGTTTTATGATAATGATCAAGTATAAATTAAAACAATAGGCAAAAGAAAGGTAACAAGAAGTTACAAACTATTGACATAGTGCAAATACATAGCTCGCAATCGTCTATTTGCATCTTTTGGAGTATTCTGTCATCTGAACTGTCTTCTCGTCTGGTTACTAAATGTTCCGTCAAATGCTGTGCTTTCTATGCACTCAAACTTCACTCCGTCAGACAACTGTTGCAATTTCGACGCCACGTTCCGCTACACACTACAAATATCCTTGTATTGATAGTAGTTTTTTGTGGTTTATATAAAGGTGATACACTTTTTCATGTTAATAAACACTTCTGTTGCACTTTGTGTCACGAAATTGCAGACTTTTGAGATTAATAACAGTTTCTTTTGTTTAGGCCATTAATGATGTCGGAAGGCTAATACGATGGTATGATGCTGATCTTTTGTTGGAAATGATTTCGTTGCATATGGTAGGTCCGCCAACTATGATGTCGTATGCAACTTTAAAGATTTTACGTGATGGTCTATCTGAATTATGCATGTATGATGAAATTTTACAAAAAGAAGAGGAAGAACCTGGTTTCACCGAGAAATATGCGATTTCTGGAACTGTTCCGATTTTAAATGTAGCATTGCTTTATGGTTTGTTTTCGCCGGACAGATCAAGACTGTGGCTTCAATGTTGCCAGCAATATATTCTGGATAGCACAATGGCTCTTTTTATCAGTACTTTATCAATAGAATGTGCTTTGAGAACCCTTTGTCTTGTACACAGATTGTCTAATCTATCACTCGTAGCATGCACCTGGGAAAATATGAGGCCTAATCCTTTTTCAAATCTGCCATACGCACAACGTAGACTAGATCTAGATGCGAAAGATGTAGTAAGTTACTTTGGAACAATCAAAATTTACGATATTATATCCATATTAAACGCTTATTGTATATGGTAATATTATATGTTTTAGCTTCGATTAAATAAACGGTTGGTCTCTAAGTTTACTGAAAAATGAAATGTAGTCTTCATTTTTGGGACAGAATTTGCGTTCTCGAGATTTGAAGATTTATGAATAAATTATTTCAATTTAATAGTAGTTTACAAAAATAACATGATAATTAGTGCAAATATAATCTACTTTAGAAAAACATTTAAAGAAACTCATTATAGACATTGTCATCTTATTTCAAATGTAATATAATAGATGTTAAAAAGAGGTTGGAACGATGAGAATCCCATCCCAACTAATAGATGTACACTTGTAAAACATGTTCAAAACTGGTGGTTTGTTCAAAAGACACTATCCGTTTGTTTGTTCAATTCATTGATATGATACACGTGACTCAGTATTAAAGTGAACATCTATTAACTAATACGAAAACGCACGTTAATTTCTTCTAGATGAATGTTTAAGCTTTAAAACTTTTTTATATAAATTAACTAAAATGTATGTATTTACTTTTAAACCAAACGAATTATAATTATAACGAGGTTGCTGTAACTACAATTCTATTCTTATCATTTGATTACAAACTTAAGCTTGATACCTTCATCGTGTATGGGCTCCGACCAATAGTCTCCAAGTAACTCTGTTCTGGGCTTTTATTTCCAATTCCTTCCAAGTATTATTCATGATCTTAATGTCTGCCTCCAAACTTCAGACGTATGTAGTCTTCGTTCTGTCTCTTCATCTTTTGCTTCGAAGATTTCATGTTAGGTGTTGCCTATAAGGTAGTCAGATGGTTTCGGTAGGATGCTTTGTCCTTCTCAACTGACACCTGACTTGTTTTCTGTCACAGAAGATTATTGCTGACGGTCTCTGACCGATGGATTCGAAATATCTTGCATTGACAGCTATTTATAAATGCCTGTTCATTTCTAGTGATAGTTGTGTTAGTTATTCACGTTTTAGCTTCGTACAATAGAATTATTCTAACATTTATGTTGGAAATTATGACTTTAGAGTTGAGAAACAGTTGTTCCGAATTACAGATGTTCTTCAGCTGTATGGATCTTCTTATGGCTACACTAATCCGTGCCTTCACATCTGCATCAAATCCCCTTTGTTTATTCATGACGTTGTCCAGGTACGTAAAAGTTTCCACCACTTCCAGAGCTTCTCTATTAAGTGTGATTTGGTTGTTTCGTAATATATTGTCCTTCAGAATCTTTCTTTTTTCTTGTAAGTGTTTAGGCGTGTTTCTGCTGAAGCCGCTGTTACATCGTCTCTTTCCACCTAAATTTATTTTGTTTGTGATACAAGTGTTAAGTCATCCATAAAGTTCAGCTTTATCCAAGGTCTTCGATGTATTCTATGTATTTCCTTATATGTGTTGGACTTCATAATCTAATCAACAAGCAGAAGATAAAAGAAAGGTGAAAGTAGGCAGCCTTGGTTTAGGGTGATTGATGACTTTCTTCTCAGACCTTCTTATTTATCCGGTGGTAGCTCTAGAGGAGCTCCAGGTGGAGTTATTCTTAATGTTTACTTTATTATAAATGCATTTGGAAAAGTGGACTCATCAAAATTCACGGTGAACTTAGGTTCGAATCTTTTGCACACTTGATACTTATTCTTCATCATAATTTATTTTCTGAATCAAATTCTTCTAGAAAAATTTTAAAAATTTTCATTTAGTTAACAACTGTGATTACCCATCGACACATTAATCGTGAAAAATATGTGTGTGAAATAAAAATTGTTTGCTATTTTAAAACATTTTTTGTAGTCTGGAAGTTTGTTTTACGATTCCTCAATTCAAAAACTACCCACCACATATCATGAAAAATAAATTGCTGAACTCCTGAACGTATTGAAATGAAATCGCTCTAACCCTTAAGCAGTAAAAATAATGAAAGTGCTTTAAAATATCCTATGAAAATACTGAATAACATAATATTAACTCTGCTAAAACTGAGGAAAACAGCTTTTTGCGTCATGGTATATAGCCGATAACTGTGAAGTAAATTTAATAAACAAGAGACCAAATAACAGTTGGTTGGCTATATTTATAATGCATAGTTTTGAGAAACCTGAGTATACTTTTATCATGGCAGTCTTTAGTAAGTTGAACAACTTAGAATTGTACAAAGTCTAGATTTTCACTCTCTTTACTTACAACTAATATTAGTGCAGATAAATTTAACTTTATGTCACATAGGTTTTGAAACTTAAAATTGGTTTGATAGTAAATCCTTTATTTAATAAAAAAACTGTAGGTAGAATGTATTAAAGGCGTTATCGAATTCGCTCAACGCTTAGACGTGAAACTTGGACCTACAAATGAGCCAATACTGAATGTTGTCAATTTCCACAAAATGATGATAACGCAGAAGCCATATTTATCATGGTATGTAACAATTGTCTGGACGTTTTATATGCCTTATAGTTTGTTTATTCAAAGAACACAGTACAATGGCACCGTCGATTAGCTTTAAATTTTTGAATACTCATTTTACAGTGTTGCTCATAGTTATTGAAATTAACTTCTCCGTGGTAATCACACTCTAAAAGTGAAATACACTGTTTCCACCGATTGCATTAAACTTATTTTTGACGACTGCCCATATCCTCTTATGTTGGGTGTACACTAAACTAACTTATACATGGTACAAAGACAGTTTTATTCTTATAAAAAAAGTGACTTTCATAATTCGCCAGTATATTTTGACGTTATTGTTAGGAAATAAGCTAGTTCACTGACTTAACTATTACAATCAGCGATATTGCATAATGTATCTATAACTTACAACCATTTTCTGGTTGTTATTATTACCTAATAAAGTAGCTTCATAAAAAATTAGACGATTAAGGGGACTATGGGAGCAGTAATTCCCATCCGCAATACCATCGATCTCACTATATCGTACAAATTAAAATGTCCTCACTTATTAAACTTAGGAATTATCGCAATCAGTAGTCACACTATCATGTAAGAACTAGACCAGTAAAATCAAATAGGATGTCTACTTTTAGGTTCTGTGTTATATTGTATTCGGTATCATAACGTAAGTGTATATATGATTTATATGTGATAGAACAAAGTGGTGAACCCAATAAATAGCTTAAATTCACCATGTCTAGGGTCACTATTTTATAGGGAAGTAAAACGTCATTCATATCATGTTCAAACTATGATGATTGAGACAATCACTTGATAATTTTAACAGAATTATGTCACTCACGTTTGATGTATTCTTAGCTATTTTGTTCTATTTAAGTAAATGATTTTTGGAATCTAACCAACTATTTATGTTTTGAATTCTGAAAACACCTTAGTAAACAGGGTTTACCGTATTTAATTTTGAAAATTTTGAGTACTCTTGATTCATGTTTCGTTACTTATACGAACACAGGAGACAAAAGTTAAACTTGTGTGAGTTTTGACACGAATTGAAACTCCGGGTTTTAAAATTTAGTCAGTTCTCAATTAAAAATAAACGAATACTGAGGACGTGTTTGATTATTTGTTGCAGAAAGCAAACTAAACAATTTTTATGGTTTGAGGTATCAATTCCATTCAAACCAAAGTTACTTAATTTTTGACAATTTTTACCATATTTCATTTGTTCATAATTAATTTGTTAATAACGTATTTTGTGAACTGATTTCACGTTTTTTTATTCCGTGTTGTATCATTAAAGCATTTAAAGAAACAAGCTTTAGAATCAATTAGAACGATAACAAGTAATCGTGAATGAATTTGTAGCATATTTGTTACAGTTTATGATCAATTAAATCTTAACTGAAGTCCTAACTAAGAGTTTGGTCATATTACTGATACCTTTTTTATGCGTACAAACGTCATTTTACTGTTTCCAGATAATATGTAAGCTTTAAGTTAAAATTTGAAACAATTACACTATTGCTTATGATGTTTCTTCATGATTGTTGGTAGTTAAAATTGAAGAATTAGTTGTCACATCTTCACCAGTAATGTTTTCTGATTCCCAATAGTTTGAAACTAAGAATGTGTGGAATCAATAACAACTTCTCAAGCAAACAGGCAGGATAATTGTAAAAATTCGGAATAATATTAAGAGCTAGTGATGGTATTTTGCATTACATCTTTTCTACAGCGATCTTAAAAATACAACTGAAAACCATTCTTGCTGTTGTATAACATGTACACATTTAACAGTTTGATCAGAGATGATAATTACGCCTTAATTTCAAAGTCAGTTCACTTCTAGTAAATTTGAGAACTATTTTGGCTGTAAAATTGAGTTTTTACCGAATACCCAGCTGTAAATGATAGGAATGAATTTCGAAAAGAGTTGTTTTGATTAACAAACCTAGAAATTTAAAGGAAATTCGGACTCATGAATTTAGTCACTTCATTTTATTTATCTGTATACTAATCAACTGACATTACTTAATATTAGAAACTAATATATAATTACTGAATACTCTCTATAGCCTACCTGATATATAAAGACGCTGAAACGATCAGGATTAATTTATAGTTCCAAATTATACTTAGGATATTATTAGAAAAGAATGTAAAATATAGCATAGTTATATTATCTTACTGAAGGACTTTCGATTTCGCTTTTGTAATACATTTTTTGTCATGTCGATTTTGACTTTTGAATTTCCATTGGTTTATTTAGTTTACAGCTCCCTCAATCAACTGCAAAGTGTTCACTTACATATTTCGTCCTCAAGCTGGTTACTAAACTGGAGTCTGTTATATATTCTTATATACCACCATCCGTAAATTCGAGTCGGCCTAATCCAGACGTTCGTATGACTGGTGGTCTTCTTTTATCTCCAATACTGCCATACCTTATCACGTGGCCATTAGCTCTTCTTCCTCCTAGCTTGGATAAAACTTTAGGGAATCCATCAAAGGAGGCGAGGATACTTGCGCTTCGTAAACTACTTCGCCTGTGAGTTTTATGTCGAACTTTAATTATTGAAGCAGTTCATTGTTATCGCTTAATTACATATTACTCTCACAATGTAGATTGTTTTCTAACTTGATAAAAAGGCCTAAGACCCTATGAATTCTCTCAAGAGCAGTGTATTTAACTGTTCTTGATCTGTAACAATATGAAAACAAAATATTTCAGCTTAATTCAATAATCATACCTTATCTAAAGTGAGCACCTGCTGAGTACATTATGCTCGTTTAAATTTATAACTGGATGCTTTTGTTGTTGACGAAAAATTATTCACTAAAGTCAACTTTATGACGATTCTTCATCTACTGAACCAACAGAAACAAGATGTTACTTATGTCCATAACTAACCAATCTAATCGTTGCTTATACTCCCATCACGCCAATTGATCTGATGTGTCTCGATATTATCCCTATTACATGTAACCTGCCAATTGAAGGATATTATTATCCTATTATATTAGTGTGGCTTACAATTTCTATTCATTTCGATAAGATACGGAATACTAGTCGGTATGTTTGTGCGTTTCACTTAATGACTATAATTCCTCTAATTATTGTACTAAGGTAAGTGAAGTGGCCAACAATCAGTGATTGAGACCAGTTAGTTGGGATTACTTCCAGCTCCAAAATCCTACCTAAAACCTCAATCAGTCTCATCGCTCATACTGGACCACCATCCTTAAAAATCTTCAGGAGTAAAGCTGTCAGGGCCTGCTGCTCTCCCTCACTTCAGATTTCCTATAGCTTTTTCAACTTCATAAAGAGTTGGAGGACCTACATTAACTTGCCATTCAGGATGACTAGAGATCGTGGTAGTTAAAACGTAATGACAATTAGTACGAAATAATGAAAGACAGTAATTTTAAAGTATTAATTTAAGTCATTACAAACAACCAGAAGCAGTTTCGCCACGTGTTTTAATGAAACATGGAATATTAACAAAGTCCTTGGAATACGGTCATAGTTAGTATACCACGTCTGCGCAAACTGAAGACTTCAGAATTAGGTATTTAATTATTTGTATTTCTATTAATTGTTCTAATGTTTGTATATGTAAGTTTCCTATTATTAATTACAGAATTGCAGCTATAATACTTGCATTGCCGATCACAAATAAGCCTGAATTTTCAAAAAGTGAATCAAGTGCAATAAAAGGTAATGCATTGCTAAAAGAGCTTGCATCAATTGCTGAACATTCTGTTGAATTAGAAACTGTTGTCAGTGCTTGTTTTACTCAGTTGGAAAATCTTGTTTCTCAATTAGTAAGCATGAATAATTTTTTAAAAAAAAACATTTACCTTCCAATTTTGACAGCCTGATTACGACCGTCATTAAAAATATCTTACCGAAATTAGATGTAAGACCCTCCCGGTACATAGAAATCTGAGAATTTTCTTATTCAAAAAACAAATGAAGCAGAAATTATCTTTTTATTAGTAACCATATGATGAAAACTATTGACACGATTTACATGTACATACCCGTTGATACCTGAACAACGTTATCTTTTAAAATGATTTTCTAGAGTATTGTTCTGTTAAGGCCTCATTAACAAGACTGCAGTGTATTAGCGGATAGAACTGATAACAAAGATATAATCACATCGAGCGAATATATATATATATATATATATATATATATATATATATATATATATATATATATATATATATATATATATATAAGAATGAGTCATCGAGCGATATTTAGGTGATTAACAGTTAAGCTAGAGAAAGATATGTGCGTAGGATGTCACATGTGATCAAACATACACGATTATACATACATGATAGTGACCATAATGATACAAAGAAATAGACGAGTTGTTACTGTCCGAATAAACAAATAAGCTAATAAAACGGCTCGACAGAATTGACTGTTGGAGAGTTGTTGTACACTATTTAGGTTTAGATTTTGAGGGCTTTTCCTTATGATACTCTTCCTTTTAATCCGACTACTTCCTTCGTTTTGATAAGATCAGACTGTTGAAACATTACTAAAATATTATTCATATTTTAGAATCTTTATTTGTTTTGTCGTCACACATATGTTCATCGGTATTATATTTTCAATATAGAATCAATATTACGAACCTACCCGAATATGTACAACTACCTCATGGTGGTGGATCCGTGCACTATGTGAACATCTACCTCGACTTATGCAAGTCGCTCCATTTTCCAATCCTGTAAACATATTACGTCTTCTAATCGAAGATGTTAAAAAGAAATCTAAATTATCAACAAATACCAAACAAAATACTGGTCACCAGACGGCGGAACCAACAAAATGGTCGAGAGCACTTGAATACGGTCTTCAGGAAGCCAAATCTAAAATAAGAGTAAAAGAAGGCAGTGGAGCGTTAAAGTACCAATGGCCTAAGGTTGGTGAGATTTTACAAGCTAAAGAAACTATAGAAAAACAGTATATACTGGAAAGCAAAAGTGGAAAAAAATCACCGACAAGATCACTCTCATCTCATCTCATAGATACTGCTCCTTCCCCAATAGATGAAGAACAACATCGTTTCTTTGTAACGAGCGATAACGAAGAAGAAGAAGAGGCTTGCATTCTACATGAAGAAGTAGATACTTCCTCTCTTTCTGATAATGATGATGATGATGAAGAAGAGCAAGAACAAGAAATTAAAGGTAAGATTTTATCACTAAATTTAGTTGTAATAATGTTTAAATATGATATTAAGAAAGCAATCATGATGTGACAAAAGTGAACGTTTAACTTGGTGTGCAGGATGTAGAAAAGAGCCAGAAAATAATATAATTGTTCAAAAAATAAAATGTGTTAAAGTCTCCGGTAATGACATTTCACATTTTATGAACCACAGAAAAAAAATCTCACTTTCCCATTTGAACATAACTCATCTGTTGATTTAGGTGCTCCTAATTGTCTTTAAACCTGATTCACTTTTTTTTATTACTCTGGCTCAAATTTGATAGAACGTTGGCGTTAAGCAAATATACATGCCACCGACCCTTGTACATATTTATCGATGTAATTCGCGTTTGAAAATAACGGAGTAAAACGAATTTTGAATACGTATATTTTATAAACTCGTTGCCCCAGATAAGCAATCAGAGAAACGAAACGGAGAAGCAGACCGGAGAAGATAATTGTGTCAACTCAGTTTGATAAAGCCTGATTTAACATTTATAGCTAAACAAAAGTAAGCTAAAGATATGTTCTGAGTAGCATAAGCAACGGACTTACATACGCTCATATAAAAATATTTAAGATTAATAAGCGAATAATTGATAAGATCAAAATGTGACTCATGAAGAATGAATAAATTGGTCTATCAAGAGGCTAGAATAACCTATGTGGGCTTGACACAATACCGACACCACAACGTGATACCTAAGACGAATGTTCAGCGGCACTTAATTTCCAACCTTTACCTAAATTTGGATCGATTTGTATACAACACCATCAACAAGTATATCTACGTGAGTTTTCAGTTCTTTGCATTTTCATTCACGTTTGACTTTGGACATGAACGTAAATGTCTTACATTCTGTTCGACTAAGTGGTATATTTTCTTTTATAATAAATTCCAGTTATGTTGCGATTTATTCTCTGTTTTCTAGAGTATACAAACAAGTTTTTTTTCATAATTTTCCTCTAGATAATTTATTACATAAACAAGAGAAGGTCCGCAGCCTGTAAGTATTCCTTAACTGCTTTCGTTATATCCGTGTATCCCTTATCTTTATTAGAATTCGACCATAATTTTGGTAGATTCATTCCCAGTTTAGTGTAGACATTGTTCTAAATTATAATTCTGTTTATAAAAATCAATAATCCATTTTGTTTTACAAACTTAACACTGTGTTAATGCATGTGGGTTGTGGTTAACAGTGGAATCAGGCCACGCGTTTCATTTTATTCCAGCAGAGTTGTTTGTGTGTACCTGCATCCAAATATTAATGCCCACATTGAGAGTCAAGTTTAAAATCTGTCGCTTCAAAAGTGAAAACCTTGTTCAATAAATTTCTAACCCCATACAGCCACTAACTTATTCAACAGATATGAGATTACCTATACAACTGTTTGTTCCGTTGTTGACTCTATCGATTCCCAATCGTGAATTGTTTCTTTGTTTTGTTAGGTTATTTTCTATGGGATATACCTTATTAATAAAAGGTTGAGAAAGTAGAAGATTAAGAACATTTGTGCACCTTCACACAAACCTTGACCTTGATCACCTAAATTATTAAACTTGCTACTTTTGGAAACGTAAGAATACCAGGAAAAATAAATGTACTTCACTTGGGTAGCACGTGGAAGGCATAACTTAATGTAATGACATTATATTTTTCTGAATCCATTATCGCTTTTTATTTGTGTTGGGTTCGCCTAAATAAATTTTCATCAAAGATACCAATATTTGCTAGTTCGTTTGGTTTCACCATACTTTAAAGATTCCAGTAATAAAATACAGATAGTTGTTTATGGTCTCTGACTATCAACACTATATCTTACGGTTGTAAAAGGAGGCAATATTTAGATTTTTATTGACATTAGGGTATATTATGATAGTCATAAATGTTTGACTTTGACAAGTTAAGAGAAATCGCTTTATTTATACTGAGATTGATGGTATATAATTCTGAATTGATTGAACGTTTTAGTAAATTGAAGTGTTTGACTCACTAAACGTCTTTATTCGAAGAAAAAGCGCATCAGTTTAATGTAATTACTTTGAACTGTTACGTGGAACTGGATAAAGAGAAGTTACCACCATTGTGTCGATGCCAGTATTTTAACGCTTGTGACGGTTGACTTAATTTCAAATCGTTTTCACCACCACGGTTATCAAACCAATGACACAGTAAAATTATTATCTCTTCTTCTGTTTTCCTATAGAACGGCTACCCGTAGCAAGTGAGCAGAGTATAACACGGAAAACGTTTACATTTGTAACTGGCCACTAAAAACTTTGCCGGTCTTTTATTAGATAACGTCATCCAGCTGTTACTTCAAGCAATTGAGCGTTAATAATTCCCGATGTTTACATTATTAGAGATGATTTATGCAAAAACACTTGTTACATTCTACGTATCAGATATCTCTTTGTAGTGTTCCTTCTGGATTGGTACTCCGCTCTTTGTCATTTCGTTATAGAGGGTTGATGAGTAAGGTATTATCGCACTTTAATACATAAACTTATTGATTATTATACAATACAGAAGTATTTGACCGAATGGTTTACTTCAAGATGATCCGGTGTTTAATCTATCTTTGATTAGACTCAATATTCTAAGGAAAGTTTAAATTTTATATACAGAGTAGAATAAGTTAACGTGTACCAACGTTATTAATTAAGCAATTTAATGCGAGGCAACCCATAAATTCATTATGGTTTACTCTTGAAACTGCACTAAACTGGTTTTTATATCTCAAGGTACTAGTCAACAACTATTCACTCATATAATCCTCACTAGTAACCATCGAGTTGACTTTTATTTAGAATAAATCAGTATTTTTTAGTTTCGTTTAAACCTATTCTTGGTAATTATTACTCTGAAATTACCTAGTAAGTAATTCTTACAAAAAACACCTTTTGTATCATGGTTTAATCCACTTATGAACCCCGTTCGTACGTAAATCGCAATCGCATTTACCTTATTATGTAATCTTTATCAGTTAATATAAAATTTTATTACTTCTGCGTATATTTAACATAACAAGAAAACCAGTAGAACTAAATACTGTCGGTCTGTCAAAAGTTTGCGTTAAGTTTTGGTATGAGGACAGCTAACCAGTCAATTGTTTTTATTTATTTCTAGATTTTATATTCCTATAAAAGCTGAACCGATAGAAACACCACCAGCTATAGAAGATGTACATGAGTTGATTGAACGTGTGCTCCAGTACTGTCGACCAGGTAAATATTTTCTTGTGTTTCCTTAGGATCTTTCGTCTTCATTCCTTATAAATAAAACACCAAACTACACATAAAAAATAAACACACGTTTCATATGTTTTACATGTTCATCACATTAAGGATTCCATTATTTATCTTCCATTTCTGGTTAGTATGATAAGTTATCAACTTAAAAGTATTCCATAAACCAGTAACGAGACGGCTTTATATATGTCAATTTGAAAATATAGTAATATGTTTTCACGAAAATGGCATTCTCAATAAATTTTCTTCAGGTCGTACAGTTTACATTCACATTAGTGGTTAGAAAGAATAATCAAGTTTAAAGCAGATCATTTTTTCATGAGTACAGGATAAGAGTTTGTAATCGCTAGTAGAAAATTCTTGTTAGTGATTATAAATAATGGAAACATTACCAGTTTATATATTTTATACTGGAGTTAAATCATATATGAAAAATTATTGAAGGAATAAGTTAATATATAGTTTTTGAATAAATAGTGGAATTCGTTAATTATAGCGACGTAAACAAATGTGATCTAAAACAGCTTCATAAACAAAACAATAAAATGGACAAAACACAATTTCTTTGAGATCAGCTAGCTTTCTTACAATAATTATATACATTTACTATAAATATATTTGTGTAGAGTTTTGTATCCCATTTATGTCATGGTGGAAAAAGAAATATTAGTTTCACACCGTGTAGGGTTAATAACGTTTACCATTTTACCCTGTAGTTATAGTAAATCTTAACAAAATATGTTCATTCCTTCTCTTTTTTTATCTTAGATATTGTAACAGCTGTACGTCAAATCTTGTCAGATTTTGATTCACCAAACACTTCATCACTAGAAAAGTCAATACGGATTCAAGAAAGTGTTTTAGGACATACTAAAGCTCCTGTTATACAATGAACAACGTTTTGTGTTTCACTACCGTACATACTGAATAAAGATCTTGTCACTTGCAACTATAACAAAGGCAAAATCAATTCAGTTTAAAATGAAATAAGTGTATACGAACTGTTTAGTATTCTTACATTTGAACCATTTTGCATATAATATTTAGTTATAGCTCCTCTATTGTCTGATTTTAACGATTCTGTATTTCCTTGGGATAATTACAGCAGTGATAGACTGTTACTTATTGTGCTTTTACAGTCAAGTTTTCTGTTATTGTTGTTTTGTTTTCCTTCTCTTCAGTTTTTCCTTAAATATTTACTTCCTTAGCTTACTTAGTAATTTCTTTATCGACTACTAGAAATGAACTAATATATGTACTTAATAATTTGTTTGTTATTAGAATCCTATCTTTTATGACGATTGGTGATTACGATGCTAACAGTTTATTAACAATAGTGATTACTTTTGTTGCAAAAATTTGGTATCATCCGAATGTCAAAGTTCTATTTAATATCATTTTACTAGTTTCTTACAAATCCCCTGTGATTCCGATTGTTAAGCGTGATTATTGATGCAGTATCTTCGATACTGCATCAATTAACTAGGATAACATCTATTTAAGGATTTTAGTCTAGAGTAGTTGGTCTACTATTTTTATGTAACGTGCTCTCCTAAACTTTTCTCAAGTTATAGTGTATAAGTCGTACAATTTTTGTTCTGTGTTTTGTGTGGGAAGACGTCTGCAAGCGAATAATTCGGCTTACACTAGCTAAAATGTCTAGAATACTTGAGTGTTCTCCACCATTTACTATTCGGACGTAGTGAGTTTTACGGTGACATGTTTATGGTCTGGCAACTGAACAATAATAATTATATCTACCGATATACCAAAAATATTCGGTGATAGGACCGTATTCACTTTAGCACTATAAAGCACTGTGATTTATTGGTGAAATTTGCGTATGCACTGCAGACAGTCACATGCTTTCAAAAAGTAACGCAAATAAAAATATTTATATCTAACTCAAAATAAATGAAGTTTCATGTCATCAAGGTTTTTTATGAATTATTTGTTGTGTAAATTTAACGATCACACGATCTGGAACTTAAAAAACACCTAAAATAAATCAAAAAATGACGCCTGCATTTCATTGCTGTAAGTAATTAACCGACAGAAAGTACCGATCAAACTGCACAAATTTCCATTACTTTCAGCCATTGAACAGTATAAATATACAAAGTCGATTTTATAAATTAATACATGAAAATGACATATGAATAAATCAAGCACCCATTAAATCTCACAAGCGAAATTGTTTTGAATTAATTAAAAAGACAATCTTTGATTAAACTTCAAGCCGAAAATAAGTGGACACTTATGCAGTCAGATGGATAGACCAAACAATGTACAATTTTGCAGCCCGAGTTACTTACAGTCTCTACTAGAGACATTATGAAAGCAGAATTACTGAACAGTTCAGGAACACTAGAAATTAAATAGCTGCTCAAAGATGTTGATATAAGATTATCCAAATGGTTACGACAAGAACATGAATACGACTAAACTCGGAGAGGGAGGATTTTGTTTTTATCACTGAATAGTCTACCAGGTAAGTTGATTGAGGTCTTGAATTAAAGATCACAATATCTACATGATGTGTGGGCGAGAATGATATTGATTGGTTGTCTGCTTAGTCAAACATGCAGATAGTCTGACAAGTGTTAGATGAGTTATATAATTCCCCTATCTTTATTCTTACTTATAATTGACTGTTCATTGTTGTTGGATTGTGTCAGGTTTTGGTGTGGAAACGTATTTACGTTCTAGTTAGGCTAATCACGTGTTCTTGATCAGAGTTGTGTTGAAGTACAGTAGAATAGACACTGGGAGGGAATCTAGTGTAGATATTCGTCTTAGGTAAATTAACGTCCCATAGACGAAGTGAAACCGAGCGTTGTAACACTATATCAACCAAATTCTTAACAAAAAAAACTAATTGCTGCGTAAGAAGCATTTGTCATGAACTGATAAGCCAGCTTATACACCTTTAATAAAGGACGTATATTCATAGAATAAAAAAATATTAGTCCCTGTATTCTCTCAACACGATTGCTGAAATATATATCTCGAAGTAATAGGAAGTAACAGCCCTTCAATTAAACTTAATATATACTAAATATCAAAATCCGGTCAAAAGTCGAAAACACGAACTGACAATTGTCCCCACATGTAAATATCTTTTTAATCCGAATAGATAGTTCATTTAGTTGCACATCTTTTGCATTTGTTGGATTCTCACCTTGCGACATAATCAATCACTTAAAAAAGAATTCAGGACTGTGAACTTCAATTAATTATCTATCTCTTAAATATCTGGTATTCTTGTTGGATCGAACTCTGTATTTTATTCACTCTGTTCCTAGATAATGGGATGTAAAGGACTTTCGTTGACATTCATACATTTTAATAACCTTACCCATTAATACTGTTTACATTAGTCATTGTAATACTTACTAAAGGAGTCTCATCGAATGACACTGGTATTAGAAAATGAATTCAGAAATTGAAAAGCTGAAGAAAGGTAGTGAATTCAATGCCAATTATGTGCTTGAAATTCATAGATAGAAAGCTATAAGAGAATTTGTAAAGTCTTCTGATTAAATTATTTCAATTAGTAGGACTATTTTGGTGTATGGACAAACAATATATGTTTATGAGTTGCAATTATATTAACAATCATTTGAATTCAATGAAAAATAGATGTTATTTAAGGATATACATAATAATATAATTTAAAATGGTTTCTCAAATGATATCAGTGCGTGATGAAAACTACACAAATCACCACAAAATCTCTGCAAATAATAATCCTATATTCATCAGTGAATAGTTTGGAGATGGATATTCCCAATGATAAAACCCCCTGATTTGTTTAATAAACTAAGTTAAGAATATGCCAGATATCCACAGTAAAGTTAAATTATAGTTGCTCTGCATTACCAGTAAAGTGCAATTTAAACAGCCGAGCCATTTGAATCTTTCTAGCTTATTGTGCAAAACCGTGCTCACCACTTTTATCATAAACCAATATCGAAGCTTTATACCAATATTGAGAAATCAATTCCAGGCATTAAAATCATCTATGGGAAAATAGAAGCCCTTAAAAATATTCTAATCACTGTTCTTGAAAGTAGATTCTTAAACTAGATTGTATTTAACTCTGAAGTTGCTAATCCAATGAACTTTAGAATACCGTAAAGGTAACTCTCAAGTACTCAAAAATTCACATTTGTCAAACATATCCTTTACAATTATGTATATTAAGTTTAATAAAAGTGAAACTGTGTTATGTATTAGAAAATTTCTATCTAGAAAGTAAAAACGATAAGATATTTAAGAAAATAACAATATTCTGAATTAGAATCTAGTTATATATATCAAAACCAATAGTTATAATTTGACCATTAGTCACCTAAATAATAACTATGTCAAGTGTATCGTCAAAATTAACAGTGAGTGCATTATGTTAAATATTAAAGAAATCTTTTACCACTAAAATTAGTTTATGCACCAAAAAATGCGAAATTACGTAATATAGAAGAACTAGAATATTGGATAAACGAATATCCGACATTAGAAGATTTAAGGAAGAGAATTTCCATAAGTCCTAGAGATCAAACTTCACTGAGTTAGTCCTTCCTTTTAATATTGATGATATTTACAAACGTTTTCATACACAGTGCATTGGGTAATATATTGAATGATTGACATATTTGCATCAGTCTAATTTGACACACCTCATTAGCACAACACGATAAATACTAAATTCATAGAAGTAGTCACTTCAATGATAGTAATATACAAAAAAGATTGTATGTAAGGATATGATACAGAGAGGAAGAATTAGCTTGTAGAAGGAAAGATATAAAACAATTTTATTCTTACGGTTTAAGGGCGGACAAAAAATGTATACACCTCCATTGTGATCGATTCCGAGCCGTGTCACCAAGAGTCTTCAACATTTGGTTACGTTAAGCACGCGGACCCCAATCAAGTAGTCTGCATCTACCAACATGGCTCATACCAGAAGTTAATGACTTCAAGCACTGATGCCACGTTTTGGTTCGGCCGCCCCCAACTTTCTTCCAACCATCTCCAACACCGGTTAGCATTGCACGTCGTGGTAATTGGTATTCAGGCATACTCAACACGTGGCCCAACCATCTCAGTCGATGATTTACCATCACTCCCTAATACCCTGAGTCTAACCTCACTATTACTTACCCAGTGAGCCCAGCAGATGCCAGCAGTATTCATAAGATATTTATGGTTAAAAACTAGTAGCTTACAAGTATTTTCTACTCCTAATGGTCATGCGTATTCTAAGTCGATAGGCGGAACCTGATAGAAGATCAGTTCTCGAAAATTCAGACGATGAGAACGCTATTCCCAGCATTAAATCTATGGTGAAATTGAACAAAAATTGAGAAAGTGGAAAGCCTTGTCGGACACCACATGAGATTGCAAAATCAGATGACAGTTCGCCATTAGCTCTAACTCGACAGCGCTCAAGGTCGTCGTATTCATGAAAATCGTGAAAGTAAAAATCGTCAACCACCAATTAGAAATGTTCCTCCTAGTGACTGGTTAATTTAATTAGATTACATAGAACTGGTTATTACAAATATATAATGCCTTGTTACTTTCTAACTAATCCTTAAGATGAAATCATTGCAAACTTTCTCATCAAAATACATTAATCGTGAGAACAGAGAGAAACGTTTTGTCACTTGATTTAAACTAACATGATATTCATCATTCTGGTAGTCGACACGTAATTTATAGTTTCCCTATTGGTAGTTTGGACCACACCTACATAAACTATAGTGTCTTGCATACAGCAGTGTAAATAAGTTTGAATCAATACTGATATTATTTTTTTCCAGCCCATTAGTTTTAACTGCATTTGTGTGTTGTTGTTTTTTTCAGCAAAAATTATTATCTATTAAGGTGATGTAAATATTTTTATAAAGCGATTTAATAAATTTGATCACATGTTGAATCTAGTTATTCAACTGTCAAAATGAATTCATTGCTGGCATAATTGAATAGATGTTATATTGTTCTAACTAATAAGCTGTTATGTACTTTTAGCGGAGACATAACATTGCCTTCTTAAATAGGTTTATTTATTTAATTATTGGTCTCCGATTATGATTATTGTCTGTAACATTTTATTTTCTACATTTTTCATAATGGTAGCCATTGTTTACAGCATTACGTTAATTTATCTATATTTTGGTAGAAGTGTTTCTTTGAAGGTAATAAAGTTTATATGTGTATGTATCACAGTCATATTTCTTTACCTTAAGACGGTATTCG